AAACCAACAAAAAATAAGTTCTAAAGAAAAATTCTATTCAGATGTATCAAAAATTAATTTAAACCATCATAAGTAGCTACAACCTACAGATGGTTAAACTAATAGGTGTTACTATAACAGAATCAAATCAGTTATTAACCTTCCTATTTGTGCTCCGATAAGACTGGGTGTAATTCATAACAGATGGTAAGTAGAAACTAGTGGGAAATACGAACACAACAGATTATGGACCATTCCTACAGTGTGAACATAAGCTCTGTTATAACGGATTCTGTACATGAACCAGTCACTAGAAGACCATAATCGATACTGTACTCTAGATTTCAGGGTTAACCAAGACATTAACTGTAATCTGTTAGTTATCTTGAGAGAAAAAAGAGTATAAAATAACCTATGGAGCAGAAAATGAATCAATTTTGCCTATTCCAAGTAACTAGTGAAGATTATCTAGTCACTTGGGCGGATACTTGAGTTCAGACAATTTAGTGATATCTGCCATTGTGATCATAACAGTAAAAACGCACAGTCAAGTATCGCAGCTTTACTTTCTTCAAGTCTGCACAGAAAGAAATACTATATAGTCACAAGATTGGCAGAATTCACTAACATTCAACTGAGTAACCTTACGTGATAAATAATATTGACGTAAATAAATTGGTATGAATACGGTTTTTCAGAGAGTTATAAAACTCAGTTTGGAGGTTTATGGTGATTTGTTTACCAATTCCTAGTTGATATTCACTATGGATTGAAACCAGTTGAAGAACAATTGGAAACTTATGGTCACTAGACAGATGTTTCGTTCTAGTACGAGACTCTTCAGCATGACTCTTCACCCATGACTTTCTTAGCGCTTGGACCCGGGACCTTCAGGTTCTGTGGCTATTACGTTACCATTGAGCAACTGGATCAGCGCATTCAATGATCCACATTTTCTACTTCTGTCAGTCCACGATATAACACTATCTTATGAAACTTCTCTACACATGGAAAACCAATAAACAATAACAACATGGAAATAGTTAGCAGATATGGGAATTACGAAGATAAATTTCCATTATAGGGGGAGTATAACTAAATAACCCACAATAGAGGAAAGTTATAATACAGAAAGAAATATTGGATCAAAAGAAGAACTCTGCTGGTTCCATCTATCACTTGACGACTTTAAATAACACTATTCACAAAACACATTTAATGTTTCTTCAAATAGTTGATATTATTTTAGAGCCTAGTTAATCAATGTTTAGACGATATTGTCTAAATTTCATAACATTGCTTATTAAATCACTTCAAAAAATGTATCAAAATTAAATGATAATCTGACAAATCAACTTTATGCATAATTTCTATCCATTATTAAAATCGGAGTGAAATTAACAACTTATAAAATGACAGTGAAATAATCTTCAAAACAAGCGTCAAAGTTTAAATCTATCGTATGTGAATATATTATGCTACCTGTTTAACGATCCGCTACACACATACAAACAGGAGTAATATGTAAAATAATCAACAACAATAAAAAAAACTATAACAATGTGAGAAGCGGTATGACTGGATACCAGTAAAATATTTTAGTTTCCAATAACCATAAAAATCCACTTTCGTACGTACAAAATTACTCAGGTAACAACAGAAATCAGTAGTATATCGTGCATTACTAAACTGTACAACAATACAACTGAATTTAAAAGTGTTGATTACGTAATTCTCATCACGGTACACATGGTTATTATAAATATACATGAATAATGTTGACGAAATATGAAAACCTGACATTCATGCATTTTCAGTGAAGAAATATGCTTAAATTTTGACGTACACCTAATAAGCTTTAAAAGATATCTATCCAACTTAACAAGAACAAATGAAACACTATTTTTATATCTTACATACTCAGAGTATAACTAATTGAAAGAGACTATGTAAATATATCGAAAAAATTCAGTCTTTTGAACAATATGCACGATAGTATAAGCATCTTTGAGATGAATCTCTAATCTCCTACATAACTTGTATTCGATAATGAAAAGCGAGATAGCCGAGTTGAGGGGAAAAACCCGAAATGCACTCAGCGACCTTGTGTACATTCATACGGTAGGCGGTGAGTCACATCTGTTGTATGGAGGTTGATGATGCTACCTGGCTCCGCAAACTACGGTAGGTAAAGCGAGGTTTGAAAAAGTGACCTATCAGTCGAAAACCATCTCCCTACAACAACTAGATAGCTGAGTGGTTGCAAGTGGATCACTGCTAGAAAAATAGTAGCTGGTGAAACCAAGGAGCAGTTATAAATGTCTCTTTGGTTTCTGTTAAATTGTAGAGCGGGAAAGATAGCTTGACACCTTTTAAGAACCCAGTTTGATATATGGCATTGTTCTCTATCCTAAGATGTGGTTACGGTTATCGGAGAAGAAAAATGCAGAGAACAAAACTTTTCGATAACTAATGATTCTATGATATAATTCACGTGTAGCAGAACCAGCGGATATGTAACAAAAAAGTTAGGCAAGTGACTTGGATAATCTGAACAAGCCAAAGAAATCTTCGAGCGAAATAGCCCAAAAATAGTCTCTAACACAGATGCATTCATTCAATATCTATTTGTAAATATGTTTATTATCCCACGAATGCTGGTAAAATTCGTTTGTAGAGATGAAATGAAACCAGGTTGAAGCTGGTTTAATTAACAAAAGACGGCAGAACTCTGAACTCTCACCATATTTTCAACATTTTAATCTTGCCAAACGTAACCAGATGAGAATTTTGGCTAAGACACGCCGATGATACTTACGTTATGTAAAATCAAAAACTATATCTCTGAGTATCAAGCCTAGGTTATGAACCAACTAAACGAAAGCTGAACTTTAATTCCTCGACTTTCTTTCAAGGAGGTAAGAACAGACAGAGATCGACAGAATAAACGTAGGATTTTGCTCAGAAGTGCATATGTTCATGTTGCCAAACTTCACAACAAATGGACAGAAAAAGATTTATATTACAGTACACGAGTCTAATAGAAGACAGAGAAATGAATGCTCAGTGAAAATGCTCAAACTTTGGAAGACGATAAACAGTCAATACATTTGCACCATCGTGACTGATTTTCTGCCATATCAGAAATTTTCCAACCATATTACCTCAAGGACCGCAACCATACAGTCCACACCTAACACGGTTCAGACAAGCAGTCACAGACTTTATGAACTAGTGCCCCGTTTTAGTCTGGCTACCCTGAATCTTCTCTTAATCCTGGCTTCAAGTCACTTGTAATTCCAAAAACTGAAGTAACCAATATATATGCAAGAAGATATGATACATGATATGAGATATAGTCATCAGCTCTCATTTGTGCTCGAAACATCATCCAGTAAATCATATTGTATCCAATATCAAATAAACAAACTTACATTTGTATTTCATACACTTACCACACCTAAGATACTACACATACTCGTTATCTTTTTCAACCACCTGGTAACGCAAAATAACCCATCCAGAAGTTGACTGGGCTATATATTCAAATAATAGTTTTTCTCAAACCATTAAAGCTAGAATTGATTTGGATATCTTTAAAAGTGATGTGAACAATTTTAGAAAACAAAGAAACTGTATGTCTTGCTATGTAGCACTACATTTTTAGTGCTCCAACAAATCTCTTTTTTTATATTCAAGTGGTGGGCAAACATTTATCCATACAAAGTATACAGTTTACGCAACTTACAGTTAGAAACCCACAATGGTTGTATGCACTAACCTTCATAGAAAGAAAAGCGCATAACTTAGACGTCAATCACCAAAGGACCGTACTTCATCTCAGCTCTGTGCTTAGGTGCTCATTGCCAAGATCTATCTCCAAGGATTAACAAAGCGATAGTGCTTCGAGTCTGCGTCAGAGGCTTTACTACTAGCCTATACACGGTGCAGCTGACTAACCAAAGGACTGGGTTAGGTACATAAATTAGTCACCAGCAGGTAACCAATGTACCTATTAATTCCTAAAGGCTGAGCATCCACTAGAGTCTATAGATCAGCTTTGCAATGTGACCACTAAGTCACATGACGCAATACTGTGGAGCACTTAACTAAGATACAAATACTTTATACACTTACCGTTGACAATAATTTATATGAGAAGACCCACAGAAGAAATAATGCTTTAGTATGCGACAGAATCTGTTGAGTACTTGGTGTACAGCATTGAGATATTTTACAGATACCCAATTTAAAGATTTGAACTTGGAGATTTATTCATTGGCTTAAGGTCGGTATTCTTCATGGACTGACATGAGTTGCAGAAACATTGAAAACTTGTCAGCACTGGAAATACATAAATCTCCGAAAACCTCCAAACTGAATTAATCTAGTGCTCATTGGTGACTAGCTACCAAAAGCAATTTCCGAAGTTCTAGTGTTAAGTCGTGACCAGTGGGCTCAACTAAGTTGGACATAAAAATAGTTACTCAACCACGACTGTGGATGGAAGTCGTGCAATATTGTCAACTAACAGAAATAGAGAATATGGACCATTGAATTTCAACCCAGTAGCTCAACGGTTACGTGCTGGCCCGGGAATATTAAGGTCTTGGATTTGATTCCTAGAGAATTCATGGGTGTGCCCTGCTGACGGGTCCCTTACTAGGACGAAGCAGCTGTTTAGCGCTCCCAGGTTTTCAATGATTCTCCAACTGATGTCAGCCTATGATGAATATCAACCTGAAATCAAAAAATTTTATAGATACGTTAACTAAAAATTTATAAACCCAGATCAAAATCAAAAAACAGAATGGCAGTTAAAAACTAGCCCCTCCTTTTGAGTAAATCATTTGGAAAGAGTTACTAAATTTACTGAATACAATTTTCGATTAGGACTGTCAGTGTGAAACAAATTCGAGTCAAAACTCTAGACAAAACAAGCGATATTTACAAAACTGTGTTGATGTTTAAATGGAACGATATATTTCACAGCATATATGTAACTTTATGCAGAAACTTACAGGGATTGAAGCTTGAACACCAGAGGATGACTTCATATCAGTTTGTACTACCGCCCGTAACATTTCACACGGATATAAGTTTGCAGCCTGAGAGTACGTTAGTCTAAAAACAAAAGATATTCTTCAGCATAAAAAAAAGTTTAAAAAACTTGAGATAATGACAGTAGCAATGTTGTCATCAGTTTATTTTCTGCGTATCATCCAATAGTAATTTCCCTATTAATCCACTCCAATGTGTACAGTGATGAGATACATAGAAAGCTTACAACCCGACTTTCAAAAACTTAACTACAAAATATATACATTTCACGACTATAAACACATCAACATGTACACTGATTCCACAAACAATACAGCTTTTACTTCGAATTCACATAAAAAATTTCCTTAGAGTTCTAAATTATTCACCTAACTAAAAAGTGAGGTGAGATACCAGTGCTCACTTAAAACTCATATGCTACAGTTCATAAAATAATAACAGTGTAACTCAACCCCTACATGCATATGCAATAGACTATGAGTCATACTTATTTTTTGAGAGCTTATGACAGGTTTCCTAGACTGAAGTGGGAGGAATCAGTTTCGAACCTCATCCCCATCGCTTTAAAATCCAGTTCCTAAACTAACAAACTATAGTTGAATCTGTACACAAATTCAAATGTAAGGATTCTTCTACAACAAACAAAATGATCAAAAGGAATAATGGTTACAACAATAATGCCAACTTCAAGGAGGTAAAATGCTTAGTTTACGATTTTCTATAAACGGAGAAGTTTGTCATGGTTCATGTACATACGTAACTAAAATGTTATACAATAGCATATCATTTGAAAATGAGTGAGATAGAACGACAAACGAAACAGAATGCTTATTGGTGACTAGCTCCGAGAGGTGGTTTCCGAGAGAAGTCGTGACCGGTGGGGCCAACCACGTCGGATATGAGGACAGCTAATCAACCACGACATTAGATGGACGCCGCATTGCATCGTCAACTGACAGCAGTAGGAAACATGAACCACTCGGTTTCGACCCAGTGGCTCAATGGCGACGTGCTAGTAGCGGAACATAAAGGTACAGGTCTCAATTCCTAGCGAGGTTGCGGGTGCGCACTGCTGTGGAGTCCTATACTACTGCGAAACATCTGTTGAATGCTTCCATTGGTTCTCCAAATGGTTTCAGTCCATGATGAATACCAACCTTAAAATAGAACCCACTTACCTTACGGCTGTCTAGCCAGTGCCTGAACACTTAATCTACTAGACGCAACAGGCAATCACAGTACAATTTAAACTCAATCATAGAATGTCCCACATGCGTATCTTGTAAGTAAAAGATAAATTATGTTTGGTTCGAGAAACGCTCTGCTCAAAAGCAAATAATTCATTCATTGTTATTTATTGAGAATCTGAATCCCATACTAGGATAGTTGGGATACTGCGTCAACTGATCAAGTTTTTATGAGGTCATCAAGTCCCTACAAACTTACACTACTGAAACAATTCCATCTTATTGTGCTTATCAATATTTTAGTAGCATACACAAAAGAAGCATTTCTCACCCGTGAGAATTTCAAAAAACTATTATTTCAGTCAGAATTATCAGTGATTCATCAAATCCTGCAAGGTAACAAACTCTAGACATACAATTTATTTGAATTTGATATCTACCTGACAAGAATGATAGCTATTTTGTTCCGTAATATAAAACATGCCTATTATATCCCTTTTTTATACTTACATTGGTATGATAAAATAATCACTTTATGATTGACAAATAAGTAGGCAGTCATAGCCTTTAGGCGATATATAGAAAGAGGTGAATACTCCCAACACCAGTATTAGCAGTAACAATTATTAAGTCTATGCCAGTGCATTCAAATTAGCACAGAGAGCGTATAGGCAAAATACAAATGATAAAGTGAATTAATTAACTATTCCATTAGGCTTTCAACTAATTTCATTAACTCCTGATATGCGAAATTGGAAAAAAGAGCCTATATGTATATATATATGTATATGTATATGTAAATGTATATGTATATGTATATGTATATGTATATGTATATGTATATGTATATATATATATATATATATATATATATATATATATATATATATATATATATATATATATATAGTCCACTGAAACATAAGAATTTCGCGAAAAAAAACTGTAAACCTATCCAGACAGACATAATGAATAAGAATAATAAATATGATGGTATTTTTCCTTACAGAAATTCGTGAAGGCGACACATTTCATAACTTAGTAAGTGTCTACGTTTGCGCAATAAGCAGAGAATCATACTTATTGCATCAGGGTTAATGATACTACCTGGCTGCCTTAACCCAAAAAAGTGGATGGAGCTTCAAACCCATGACTCACTAGCTGAAAATTTAGTGCTGAAACTAGTAATGCCTAACTAATTCCTGAAGGTTTTGTACAGTCATCAAATAAAAAAATTTCAAGAATGAAGAACAAAGATTTTAGTGATTAACTTGGATACAGAAAAACAACTGAATATATGTGAACATCTTTGCTTGGTTATCGGCCTTTCTTGTACAGATGGTTAGAAAATCAGATATTAATTAGAGGTCTTCCCGTATCTAATAAACCACTCGGACAAAAATAACTGTCACGACGATAACAATCTAGTCTAGCATTCATTGGCAAAAAATCATCAGCTGCCGAGTGCCTTTCACCATATTCCAACCTATGGCGCCGCCGTGATATCTGATTGTTTGTTAAGCGTCGCGTGTACTGCACCTCTACAGCAGTCCACTCTATTCTACTGTATGGCTGTGAAACATGGCCATTGAAGGTAGAAGACATGAGAAGGCTTCAGGTATCCGACCACCACTGCCTTCGTAGTATAGGCCGCCGTATTCCGTGGTGTCACCACGTGAGTAACCCACAAGTCAAGAGTAGAGTTTTACGGAGAAGAGGTAAGTCAGTTGACGAGGTTATGAACCTTCATCGACTGAGACGGTTGGGACACGTATTACCTATGCCTAGTTGCCGATTGCCTCGCCACACAATTTTGACCAAAGGCTGGAAAAAGGCCCGAAGCGATCAGACCAAAACATGGCACCAATGTATGAAGTCTTTGACTTTTGGTTCAAGCAATGTGGGGCGATGCAGACCAGGTGGTCGGGGTTCACGGGACTAGAGAAACCAGTGGTTGGAGATTCTAGGTGACATGGCTGAGAACCGATGTCACTGGCGCAGATGTAAACACACATTATCCTCATCTTAACGACGCTATACTGAATCTCACCATTTTCTCATCCTTCCTTTCTCTCTTTTTCTACTTTACATTTTTTCTGACTGAATCTTCTTATCTTCATCTTGCGCCTCACTGCCTTCTTACTTGATGTACTGATATGAGCTGTGGCACCTCAGACCGTTACGCAGTAATGCCTGGTCCTGTGTTGACATTGATGACGATTTCACCATATTCTTAACTGAAAATTTTCTATTCAAAAAGTCCTTAATATTTATGTTATTTCAGATGACCTTGTTATTATTCATTACCATAGGGTCAGTAATTTTGTACATCCACATGAAAACAGATATAACTGGAGTATAATACACCAATAGATTCAATGTTGTGATCAAATATCGATTCGAAGATTACAGTTCAGTCATTCACAGAACGCTAATCAACTAATTTTTGCGCCTGTTGAAAATAAAAGAAACAAAGTAAGTATCAAAAAGAGTTTTGAGTCTATCCAGTAGGAATACTGAATCAAGGAGAAACATCTATTCGAAAATAAAAGTAGAGAATACTTAGAAACCTAATGAAAAACAAAACCAATACTTGAATGACCATTCTGGTTGGTAAATTTGCCAAAATTTGCACAACTGTTCAGTTAAAACATGGAAACCAGCTTCACATCGATTCCAGTTCCTAGACAGCTCCATTATTGATATCTATGGTGAAGAGATACAAAAAAAAATTGAAAATAATATATAAGAAAGAAGCGGTGGTAATTTAAGTGGCATTCTTGCTTATATTTTCATAGACAGAGCTTTCTACACCAGTGTAAGCGTTAAACTGACAAATAACTTCATCGATGATCCCTAGATCGTTGTAAAAAGCCAACGTACTTACATCAAAATTAAGCATGACACAAAAGTAGAGTTGAATATCTAGTTATAAATCTGGTCATATCCCTTAACTGGTGAAGCATAGAAATAGTACATAGTGTTATTAGAAGACGAAGTTTACCTGAATGATCTGATGTATTTGAACAAAACATTTAGGATCATTACTAGCTGATGTCTATGTGTCATACATCGAAAATCTGACTGATCTCATCACTAAAGTTTCTCTTTACAAGAGACATATAGACGATATCATAGTCATTTGTTAGAAGCATAATGGTATGGTTTGTCAACTAAAAAAACAACGCAGTATAAAATCACATCAGTCTGACTTGAAAGAAAAGGAATAATAACCATCTGCCATTCTAAGATGTACTCCTGAGTCAATGAGATGGTTCAGTAAGACGGGCAGTTTACATAAAGCCTATATCGACAGGACAATATCTGAATTTTCACAACTTTTGTCCGATCCAATACAAGGGAGGTCTAGTAAAATGCCTGTTTAATAGGATCTATCTCATCTGTATATCAGACATGGTGGATGGAAAAAATATCAAGTTACTGACCAAAACACTTATGGAAAACGGATATCCGCTGAAGTTAATAAACCGCTGTAGAAGTCAAGTAACACGAAAGTCAACACGGTTTCTAAGATGAGCGTCTGTACCACTTTACCATATGAACGGGAGTTGAAGAAAATGATTTTGAGACGTAGAATAATATCAGCCATTAGAAAAATATACTATGCAATTAAGTTTATCATTGTGGAAAAGACAAAACCAATGCTTCACCACAAACCCGAACACCGCATAAATGATTACTTAACATCCCTTTATATTTATCAGTTTACATGCGAGTGTGGTCACTCATACATAAGGAGGAATAATCGAGATATGCATGAAGCTGATGGTGTGAAAACATGCACCTAAATAACTTCAAAAACAAATGGAGCATGAAACCTTGATAAGTCCAAGTGGAAGACGACCCTCTTCATCTATAAACAAAAATATTATATGACCGGATCACAAAACTAATGTTGGAACCGCTTTCAAAGTTTTATGCAGAAACAGTCAGGGAGGCATACTGAGATTTGCGGTAGTGACAGCCATATGAAAATGGAAGCCACTTTTGTGTGCACAAAAACAATTTATTCCCAAACTACACCTAACTTGATAAACTTTGGTTTTTTACCAAGATTAGAATCAACTATGTCACTCCTCCTATTTGATCTCATCTTTCTAAATTTTAATCCCCTATTCTCTCAACTGTTTTATTTGTGCTCCCATTCTTCAGTTTTATACACACTAACTTGATAAATATATGTGTGACCAGATTGTTCGAAATGTATTGCGCAAATACATCACATTGTTCAGATAAACTTCATCTTCTAATGACACTATCTAAATTCATAATATGAACTAGTTGTTTCAAAGAGAACTAGAAGGATGGCCATCATCAAACCAAGGTCACCTGTGAGCTTCAGTAGACTTTGTTGAGTGGTAAATGATGCTTTAAAGTCAACTAATCAGCTTACAATACAAACTAAAACAGTCGAACGACTACTCAAACCATATTCCGCTTCATTATTGACTGTTATGTAAACACAAGATCATCAAAAAAGAAAATCTTCTGAGGGGGGAAGGGGGTAAATAGTAAATTGCTGCTAGTTGTGGAAAATAATTCCATAGTAATAAGTAAAACAGAAAACGTGCAAATAATCAGGGTGAAGACTTTCAGAAGTTTTCAAAAAAATTAAAAATCGGAGCAAAATATTACGAAATTTTAGTATGAAATTAGAAAGTTCCATTTTGATGATTTGATGTTGAGCGACTAGCTAATGTTTGTCGCAACTGTAAGATGCATTTCGCTTAATGATTGCTAAGAAGATATTCATCTATGTGATACAACCATTGAAACTTGCAAACAAAATTAAATTCCGTAGAAAATACAATTGTCAGTCTTCTGAAAATCAATTTAATCTTATGAAATTCTCTTACCTATCATAAAATAAGAATGTAAGCAAACACAGAGTCCAGAAAATCTGAAATATATAAGAGTCCACATGATCCAAAAAATACTTTGAAAAACCATTACAGTAGTATTTGGCTTGGAGAAGAATAGCAAGGAAGTGTAATATGCTGATCAGAGCTGCCCAGTTGAAATCATCCAGCTATGCACGGGTTTATGGGTTGTTATATCCCATGACAAGTTAAGATGTTCACTAGAGACATTTGTGATCACTCTTCCTGTTTAATTTCGTTATAAATGCTTTAATGGATTTAACACTAAATACCTTTGACTTCAAATGGAATAGACTTATCCCCTGGAGACCACCTGGTTAACTCGTAGTAAATAGACAACGCAGTTCTGTTAGACACTGATAAAATCCCAAATTTTTTTAAATACTTTGAGAAGTCTGAGTAAGTTTGGCACGAGTTTAGCTCCTGTCAAATGTATGAAGCAACAAAATCGATCTGCCAATACGGATAAAAAGTTAAGTACTTCGTTGCATTGACCACTTTTCTTACTTGAGAAGTTCCATTATCAAGAGTAGGTTGGTTGCAGATGAAATATAAGCTTGGATACAGAAGAGCTAATTAACATTTGCCGATGAAGTATACGATTACCTGTTAAAAACAAGTATACTGTGCTATGTTCCATTTTGTCCTAATACTCAACTGTGATAAGTGATTGCTAAAATTAGATGTGAAGATAATACAGGCTTTTAGCCACCTGTGGCTTCATGCCATTGTTCACACATAAGGAAATCACGGTGGGAGCGATGTCGAGGTTAAAGCAGTGTACTAGGTAAGGAATACAAGTCAGTCGATCAATTCGTGGACCCTCATCGACTGAAGTAGTTTAGATATGCGTTATGCATACAGAGCCACCGCTTACTTTGACATGCAATTTTAGACGACATATAACTTTGTAAGAAGAAGGCTGTGGTTAGCCAAACCAAGAGGTAGCGGTAGTTCATAAACCCTTTAGTTATTGATCTGAATTACGTAGGGAGATGTAGACTACTTCGTTGGAGTCACTAGGACGACAAGAATCAATGGTTGGGGAAATTTGGTAGGACAGTCTAAAAATGATTACAGTGGCATAGATGCATTAACTATTTGAATGTTTTCATTAAACGTTTATTTCCTCTCAAACTTCTTACACTTGTGATATCGGTCTTTTTCTGTCCACTTGCTATTTGTGTGCTGTTGAGAAGCGTAGCAATGTGAACCGGTGCATTTCTGAGCGAGGTTTTACATCCACTTGTCTATGTCGTACTAACCTAATCAGTACCCAAACGAATATCACCTCCCTCCCCTAATAACGGATAACTATTACTGGTAAACATGTATTACAAAAAAGTGAACTGAACTATATTCCTTAGGACCAGCTTGTTACTCACCTGCTTAGATTGCTGAAAAGGCGATTTCAAATCGGAGTGAAGCTGATGACCGTCAGATGAGGAAGTAGCTGTTCAATGAAACAAATAAGAAAACGATGATCACATCGTTACTAAAGAAGTACGATACATTAATTCCAAAATTAGATAGAGCTTAACACTAATTATAATATTTAGAAGATTCACATTGCAATCTGAGTAGTGTAACAACAGACTAACACTGGCTGAAAAATACTGAAAGTTTATAAGTTATTGGATCAGATAGAAACATACTTTCTAGATGAGGACGAACTATCTCACACCTTCCATAACAACTAACAGCATTTTCTCTCGACCATGTAGGGGGGTGATGTACATAAAGAGATAAATAACATCAAATTCTAAATAAACTGAACACATTTGATTCAACAAACTTTCTTATACTACATTGATAGCAAGAATCATCTGATAACGCTAAAATTAGAGGTAAAATCTTGTTTTCATCCAATAAAAACAACAACACTAAGCGAATGATGAGAAACTAAAAACACGTGGTTAGATTACTTCTCAGAATACTATGTTAGATCACTCCAACCCTCTTGCAGTGATATTAATTCAGTGACATATATTTAGAGATTTTCTTCCGATTCAATGATTTTCAATCACCTACATTTAGACATCTAGTAGCTGTGTCCAGTCATCAAAACTTTTTAACTGCTCTCAACTTTAGTAATCTCTCAGACAAAGAATATACAACCTTAGTTAAATAAAGTATAAATAATTGCTGAAACGGGACCAGCAGCAATGAAAGACGTTTTTGAAATTAAAGAGTTTACGCTATCAAGTGAAAGTCGTGTCTGACAACGAAATAATTCAGGGAACGAAGATGTAAGAATAACACAATAGAAGTTGTGTACCAGTATATATATATATATACATATATATATATATATATATATATATATATATATATATATATACGCAACGTTTTTCATCTTAACCAAATAATGTCTCATTGATGAAGTCAAAAAACAAAATGAATCAGGTTCAGTGATGGTTGACACCACTCAAATAAAAGTTAAGCAGAAATGTGTTTAAGCTTACAATGAATGATACCGTGACTATACAGTTATCAATCAGAAGCGCTATTCAACCGAGAAACTTATGATTTAAAGAGGATCAGTCACAAGAAAATCTCATTTGACTTTTCAAACTTTCTAGATAACAGTTTTCATTTTGCTCATATAAAGTAGATAAGAATATTCAATAAAAGTTTAAGCAATATGCTTTTCGACCAATGAAATCAACCAATTCAATTACAGTATCATTCCAGTCATCTAACGATTATTGTGAAAGCGTCAAAACCAACCAAAAAACTCTCACCTATGAGAGATCTGGTGAAATGAAACGATCATAATATTTAACCCCGTAAATACCTTCAAAAATCCTCAATAAGGTTATCACTATTAGGATAGGGTAAAAACAAGCCCATAGTATATAACTTCAATCAATTTCTCTATTTTGGTGCCACGTATTTAAAGCTTAACAAGCCTTTCCAGAACTGTTTCTCCTAGACGAAACCAGTAAACCTCATGCATCCATACGCAGATCTTCACTTAACATGAGAAATTTCAAGGGTATTTAATGGTACCGATTAAAGTTATCTGATCTAAATACTTATATGAATGAAGTCATAAAGAAAAGAAACAGTTGAACTTAGTTGTAGGTTAACTAATCAATATCTATCAGTAGCAATCATTACAAAAGTGAATAAAAGGTTTTTGATGATGCTGTGTTTTCTAGGATGGTTTAATCGTGAAGTTCTTGTTGTCATTCTAGACAACAGCATCAGCACAAACTACAGAAAGAAGTGAGCTATGCGGTTTTATCCCCAAGTGGTTAAGTAGTTCGTCCTGATGACCTTGTGTTTGGTTGGTTGTTTTTACCAAGGCCGTATCACTGTTTCTGTATTTATTTCGATTGATTATCCTGCTGATGTGAACTTTGATATTCTTTTTGTTTCTTATTGGTTGACAGATTGTATCAGTGTCAGTATGTCTATTGATTGCTGACTGACTTGAATGCTGAGCTGCTAGAAATTCCCTGGCATTCTTTGTTTTTCTTTTATCCAGGATTCCCACATTTTCCCAGTCAAATTCATGTCTACAGTTGCCTGTATGCATTGATATGAGCGAATATATATCAGGAAGCTTCACTGCTGGTTGATATCCATACAGATGGACACGGAAAGACGAACATTTCTATCTGATGTAGTGTTTTCATAGTTTTTGCAGTTTATTTTGGAGATAACGTTTGATTTGTCTTTTTTCTCTATTGCATCTTTTGACCTGTATTACAGAGTGAAGAGATTTTGTGGGCTTGTGAGCTAAAGCGATTCAAAAAGGCTTCAATAATCTAGTCATGACTTCGAAAGAAGAAAATTACTTGATGCGTATCCTAAAAAAGAACTGCTACCCACGAAACTTTATCAGATGCCTATCCCATGCATTAACAACTACGAAGTCATCGACGGAAATTGACAAATGGATTATTCTACTGTACATAAATGCATCAGAGATCACCACAAGATCACTGAGACAATTTGCGATTGATGTGCCTAATAAACCGAAAAATTCTCTTCAAACCAAATTACGTAAACTAAAGAACGCAACCGACAAAGAAGATAGACCGAATATCATTTACAAAATCAGCCGCAATAATTGTAATCAACATTACGTCGGACAAACTGGTCACCCCCTCCGTCTTTGTTTACATGTATACCAACTGGCTATTTAACGTCACGACATTTCATCACTCATTTCAGTGTACATGGATAACTATGGACATGAATTCAATATTAACAATGTAGAAATCTTGGACAGAGGGAATACAAAGAATATCAGGAAACTCCTAGAAGTTTGGCATGGAAGTCAGTTGGTAATCAACAAATGTATAGGCATGGACCCAATCCATCAACCAACAAGAAGAATGATAAACAACAAAAGGGTCAGAGATCAAGCAGGAAAACAGCCAACAAGAAAATCTATGCAATCAATGACACAACTATCATAAACCAGTTCATCAAGGCAAGCTACTGAATAGCACATGGAGAGATATTGACACCTCATATCGAAATTAGTCCTGATGATATTGTCTAGGAAGACAAAGAAAGCTTCACAATTACACCATTCAGAACAGAGAACACAACACAATCAAGACCATTCACTGAGCTAAAAATATTCACCACAATTTTCAAAGTAATAGATCCATTCATCACTAAAACACTTTCTCAACTGCTTTCTTTTCGAATACACTTTGAAAAGTTACAGAGCTTGAAATAGTATTGGTTTCTAAATGGAGTGAATCAGGAATGAATAGTAGTTTTAACAAAAAATCAAAAATCAAGTGGATCGAAGCACATTCATATTTAAAGAGCATATCACTCTGAAAATGAATCTAATGTAACTATCAGTGGATACAATTATAACCAATCTTTTATCCGGTATGTTATTAACCGCCAATATGATTGTATTACATTTCACAGTACTGATAATGATAATAAACATTAATCCTGGAAAATACTCACCATTTTCACTATGTTTATTGTAAACAGACCCCATAGAAATAAGGCGCGAAGATGAACTTGTTGCTAGGTTAGTTTGCTGTAATATAAGATAAGCTGAAAAAGGAAATAAATAGTCTTTACACGTCATACAACTTGTAAATTTAATCCTCAATTTGATTGTTCAAATAAACTTTATAAAATGTGACGATTTCATAGGTAAATAAAAGTCGAATTATCAAGTATTTCAATAATAATGACAGACTTTAGTGTCATGACTGACATAATGATGAGTTCAAATTGAAGAAGGTAGGTGAGGGGGGCGGCAATCGTTCCGTAAAATTGTGAATCCTCGACATTTGGCATGATTACATCCCATTTGGCGACCAATCTAGGCGGGTTACTTTAGGTGTAGTAGAAGATGAAAAACGACACCTAGAGATCACATGGTGACATGTGAAGAACTGGTATAGTCTGTTACGACGGTTCAATTACGAGTGAGACAGCAATCATGAAAATATACGTGCAGCGTATGAGCACTTACTACCAGGTTGTAAAGAAAGGGAAATACTTTGTATTTCCAGCACGATTTGTAATTATACACTTTTAATTGAAACGGTCTGATGTTTAAACAATTTCGGCCAAAGAATGACTAATATCCGCAGCTTCCGCACTGGTCACCCTATTCTCAACCAAATATGTCATGACAATTAACTCCTTGACTAGACCTCAACTTCACTTAGGTCACCTAATTTTTTCTCAAATGTCAAGTCAATGACTGGTATGCGAATGCCTGTTCACCTTCAAACTATCCGATCAGCCAGTTTCACTAATGTTTATGCAAACCAAGAGGAGTCAGAAATTGGGAGCAAATACAGCAGAACAACGATACAATATAATTTACTGGTTGACATTTCGAGCACAATAAGCATATTGAAGTGATCAGACAATTTTCTGTCTTTGTAGTTCTGCTGCATTTTCTTCCTTGATCCTAGTGGTAGTAAGACCTTCCATATATCTGGGATCGGTACCAAATCCTTCTCCTATTGCACATTTTGGGGACTAAATCGATGAATTTAGGTTCAGCGATCGACATCTCCGTGCACCTAACTACATTAGTCTTCAGAACTGTTACAATATCCCACCCTATGTAGTTTTGTATCACTGTATGCACATCAATGGTTGAATTCTTTGGTAAACTACTAACTTTGGAAGTGGTTATCACTCTAGACTTAGCTCAGTTCCTATACTCTTATAAGCTAACTGACATTGGTCGGCTGATATGAATCACGTAATTGACACCATAGCTATTCCATGGTATTTGGTAGACCACTAACTCTGTCAACAGAATCCTTAAGGTTGAAGTTTGTCTGAATGAGTTTCTAAGTTTGAATACCTCCATAATTACGGTCTACTCAAGAATCCTACTCACGGTTTCCAAGGTTTTCATACGGTAACACTTTTTGGACCCTGAATTCTTCCTAAGTCATTGTTGCGGTCATTGTTCACAATACTACTTCTCCTTTTTCATGAAATATTATGGGTTTTTGAGAAATTTCAGGTCAGTTATTGAGAAGGGTTGACATTCAAATGTACTTACACTAAAAAAATGAAAAGAGGCAAGTATTTAATGAAAAGTTGAAAATCACCTGAAAAAGCTGCCAAGCTAGCTGAACCAACCAAATAGTCGGTTACGTATGGATTAATGAGCCAATTACTCGTTCCAGTGGTAGGATCTTCTGTTAACAACATATCGCCCTTTGATGGTCTTAACCGAATAGCCTATTTTATTAAACAAATTCATGAATGAGGAAATAAAGTCCTATGCAATTCTGACCAACATAATGAGAAGTAAATGTCAAACAATTTGTGGTAAACGTAAAAAATACATCAGAAATGCTGATTATATATATGTTCGTGTGTTAACCCTTTTACCCAAACTACAGATGTGACAGATAGCAATATAAACCAGACATCCAGATTAGATTGTGTAGACTGTAAAGGAATTCAAAATCAAATCTTTCAATAAACCGGCGGTCGAACAAAGCCCTAACTGAGAACCACCAAGAGCATTTGAAAAATTACTATCATCTTCACTTACCTTGACAAACAGCATTTATCAGCAATGATATAGAGTTCTTGGTTTTATTGCATTCTCTGAGCTGGGTTGTTTAGTCGTGAACCTTTCATCGTCTTGCTAGACGACATCACGAATACTAACTTCAGTATGAAGTGAGCTGTCAATATCTATCTGTGAGTAATTCAGTGGCTTGCTCTAACGGCGTGATCTGTGATTGGTTGTTTCCTTCGACTGCTGTGTCATTGACTGAATAGACTTTCCTGTTGACTGTTCCTCTACTTGACCACTGACCTTCCTGCCGTTTATAGTTTTTTTATTGCTGGATAGATTGGGTTTATGTCTACACATCTGTTGGTTGCTGACTGACCTAAATGTAGAGCTCCTAGGAATTCTCTGACATTCTTTGTGTTTCCTCTCTCCCTCCAAAATTTCTACATTGTCAAAATTGAATTCACGTTATCCACGTGGATTGAAATGAACGATGAAATGTCATAGCGCTTAATAGTCAATTGGTGCTTGTGTAGACGAAGACGAAGATGACAACCACTTTGCCCAATATAGTGTTGACTACAATTATTGCAGCTGATTTCGTAAATGATATTCGGTTTTTCTTTTTAATTGTTGCATCCTTTGGTCTGCATAACAGTCTTTGGAGGAAATTTGTTGGTTTATGAGCCACACCAATTCCAAGTGGTCTCAGCAATCTTGTCGTGATTTCTCATATATTCTTTATGCATAGTAGAACGATGCGTTTGTTCATTTCTGTCGATGACTTTGTAGTTGACGGTGTACGGGATTGACATCTTCTGATAAAGTTTCGTGGGTAGCCGTTCTTCTTCAGGGTGGACATCAAGTGATTTTCTTCGTTTCTCCGTGAAGTTGTTGTACTGCAGTGTGTTCTCGCTCTTCGGAATAGAGTCTGCACGCAACTGATTTTGTGTGTTGTTGGGTTGTTGCTATTGTAGTTGAGGATTTAGTCAGTGTGTGTGTGTTGGCTTCCTGTACACTTGGGTTTCCAGCTCTCCGGTATTTGTCCTACTGACTAAAACATCCAGGAATGGTAGTTGGTTGTTTGACTCTATTACCATTGTGAATTTGATGTCACTGAAAACGTTGTTGATAAAACTGTGAGGTGTTTTCTATATCATCCTTTTTAATGATGACAAAAGTGTCGTCTACATAACGAATCCAAATTTTTGGTTTGATCACAGGTAGAATAATGGCTTCCAGTCACTGAATCACTGCTTCTGCTATTAATCCGGATATCGGTGATCCCATTAGAGTTCCTTTCATCTGTTCGTATATCTTGCCGTTGATTTGGAAGCATGTTGTCATACAAAGGTCAATGATATCCATCAGACTTGAACATTCAAGTTTTGTGATTTCTGTAAGGCTTGTTTCTTCGTTGATCAGGAGGGACATAGTTCAGTTGGCCAATTGAGGTTCAACAGATGTGTATAGTGCTGTGACATCGAAGGATATCATTAACTCGTCGTTTTCTATGTTAATGTTTCTGATCTTTTCTAAGAATTCCGTTGGTGACAGGATGGAATGTCCGCATGATTGAACGAGGTGTTTCAGTTTTCTCAAAATTTCTCTTGATATGTTGTATGTTGGAGTTCCCGGGAGTGAGACAATTGGTCGTAGAGGTAACTCTGGTTTGTGTAGTTTTGGTCTGCCGTTGAGGAACAGCCAACAGAAAAGTCTATTCAGTCAATGACACAACAATCGAAGGAAACAACCAATCACAGATCACACCGTCAGAGCAAGCCACCGAATTACTCACAGATAGATATTGACAGCTCACTTCATACTGAAGTTAGTATTCGTGATGTCGTTTAGCAAGACGATGAAAGGTTCACGACTAAACAACCCAGCTCGGAGAACACAATACAACCAAGACCATCCATTTGAGCTTGTAATGTAATTCGGTCGTACACTATCAAAGTAACACATAGAGACTCTAACTTTTCCTTAATTTGTCTTTTTTTACTAGATCAAGTGGCTAGCACTAACAGAAACTAAATCGTGGGTTTAAAACTACTATCAATTTACACAGTTTTGTTGCCAGATATGCAAAACCAGTAACGTGTTTATTACTAAAATAAATTAACCAATCAGTTTATAATCAGCTCCATCATTCATGGTATACAAAAAGTTTAATTTGCAGTTGATAACTGACTGAAAAGATTTATGCTTAGTATTTGAAGTAACGAATTCAATCTTTTTTGTTCGTTTATTAAACATGGTCTTTGACGATAAACGGCACAATATGGGGAATCATATTTCATGAATGGTATTAAATATAAGGAACGAAAAAGGAAAATGGAAAGTGGCGAAATTGTATTGACTAAGACAAATTTCAAATGCATTATTCTTGCGAAACCGTTCATTTTTGAATTCCATTCATTAACCAGTTGGTTCAGATTATGTGAGGTGTACATATAACACAGAGTAATTGCCTTTGTCTATCCAGAGATAGTTGCAAGATCTCTGACTTTAAAAGACAAACTTCATTATGCACAGTCAGTCAGTATCAACATAAAACACGGTATAATGGTATAGCGGTTTAAGTAACATACATCATATCAGTCAGTTAACACTAATCACGCCATATCAACCAATTCCTACTTTAAAATTATTTACAGGATCCAAGAACATTTTGCTGCATGGTCGCAAAGAGAGGTACCAGTGGTTCCATAAAGAATGCAATAATTGAACATCCCACTGATATTGACCACACACACTAAAAGTTTCTTGAGACATCCTCAAGACAACACATAGAAGACAACTAGTTTGAGAAAATTCGTTTTTTCGTTAATCTCATCAGACTCAACCTTTAAATATGAAATTCTGATACAACAACGGCTCACACAAAGTGTTCATAAATGTAGGGATGATAAAATAGAGGTGGTGCTTTCCTGTAATAGGGTGCTTGAGGTTAAAACACTGGTAGAACGAAATACATTAGCAACAGCTGTTAAGTATGGAAACTGACCCATGTCACTAGAAATCACATTCAATCGCATTTTTAACAAAAGACAATTGTAACGAGGAAAATTTTCTTTTCTAAGAATGTTTCAAAAGCTAATGCGTCAGTGGAAGGTCAACAATTGTGAATAGAGTCATAGGTTAATTATAGCTAGAAGGTCAACATCAGGTCATCAAAAGTTGTTGATAGGTAATGCCTGAAACATCGATACAAGGCAATTACTTAATAATCTATGTAGTAATGGAACCGATACGAAAAGCAAGACAGTTCTGCTGAAATTAAAGAAGGAGATTGAAAACAAAATGTAGATAGATAGAAGAAAGAAATTGTAAACATGACTACTGTTGCATTGATGGTATGACTGCAGAAAGTAAATCGAGTGTTAACTATCTTTCTCGGTCGTCTCATATCTTGTTGACTTCCAAGAAAGTCTTTCGTTTAATGTATTACATAAAGAAACTAAGGGTCCATGGTATAACTCAACATCTACTTTTACACTATTAATCTCTGCATTTCACCTGTTCTTCTCTATTGTGCGCCGTTGATCTTTGAATGTTATATTGCGTAGGGCTTTGTAAGCCATCATTAGGGTAAGTGAGTGCCTCTGACTCAACTTATTGACACTGTAAATGGCAGACATTTAAGTCCTAGCAGGTTTCTAGCTACAGTAATTCTAACTGATACTGAACATCCACTTTATTCACAGCTGTCTTTCCTTGTATCTCCCCAGAGAAGACAAGAAGAAACTACATAAGACTGTATGCTCCTACAGCTAAATAGAAGGATTCGACTGTGACTTACCCAGCATCCATCTTACGTGGGGAAAAGTGTTAGGATAGAACTCACTTATCAACTTTGGAATAATAAATAATCTATCTTTCCAATATTTCAACCACCAATTTAAAATTTCCCTCACATAATTTAAACTGTTATAATTACACTATTCGAAATATAAAGTATATATATTTCGTATTTTGATGGACATATATTTATGTTTTAACCATTAATAAAATGCAAAGCTTCTGAAAATAATTCGTAGATAAAATAAATTTTCTCCCTGAATCGACTTTTGATAATTCCTCATGACTAAATTATATTTTTGTGATAACTATCTACCATCATACACAAACAGACAGACAGATAAAACCAATATAGAACCCAGCACAGAAGTCTATTGGTTCAAGCTACCACAATTCACAGTAGTTGCAAAGAACAAGTGAATAGAAAAAGAGTCATACCAAAGCACACGAGAATGTGTGGCACAAGGAATTTAAAAAATTGGAGCAATCAGAACACTCACGCTTCAGAAGACATCAAATATTGAATACATCTCCCCCACTGTGAACGATTTTCAGCCATATCACCAAGAGTTCGTAATCACTGATTCCTTTCGTCTCGCGGACGCTAACTAGGTGGTATACATCTCCTAACATGGCTAAGACTAACAGTCAGGGACTTCATCGACTTGTGCCACGTCTTGCTTTGACCACCCTGAACCCTCTTCCAATCCTAGAATATAATTTTGAAGTAGGAGGTGGCTTGTCATGCGTAGTGTACGTACAAGCCACCTCAAACACTTAAGGTTCACAGTCTCTTCCACCACCTTCCCTTCCTTTCCCAGTATCCTTCACCTAACCTCGACAATCCTCATACAGCGATTCCACCACATGTAAGAAATGCTACGAAGACAATGGTGGTCGAAAACTTGTATTCTTTATCTATCTTCCCCTTTCAACAGCCACGTTTCACAGCCGTATAACAGGGTAGAACGGACTGCAGCGTAGTATACTTATCCTTCAAGACGTCAACCAGTACCAAGGATGATTTCATTTGATATATGACATATAAGCTGAGATTCCGTCAGTAACCAGCCCGTCCGAGTTGGCAGACGCACTCTACCACTGCATTGCCTATCCTTAAACTGGAAGTAGAAACAGACTAGTCCTGAAGCATCAGCTTACATTCTACAGGTGCCACATGCATGCTAAACATACTCAGATTTCCGCACAATGCACTCAGAAGCCCCTTCATTTTGTCAACGTCATCTAGCAGGACAACGTCATCTGCGCACTTTGATTCAGCCACATGCACTTTGGGGAGTAGATCAATCTGTGTGAAATCAAACGATCCAAGCGTTATTTCTATTTCTGCATCCGTAACGAAGTTAAAAGAAAAGATGATAGCAGGCATATCAGGAAAGCACCACTAGCTGTTGTCAATTCAAATGACAACTCTCCATAAGCTCTTGTACAGCTACATGAGTGCCAGTAAAGAGGTTTGATCAGCATAATACACTTCGTCGGCACTCCCTTCACAGTAAGACACTGTCATAACACACCTCTGAGTAAAACAAACCGGTGCTGCCTTCAGGTTCAAAAATATGGGAAGTGTTGGCCACAAGTAAGTATACATGTGTTCCAGTATTTTACACATAGATACTCAGGCACAGTCTACAAATATCAACCCATCATGTATTCGCATTCTAACAATCGTATGGGTGAAAATAATTGATCCAACTATTACTAATTCACACGTAATGTCCAAATCTGCATGGTTCAACCTTTTGATAATAATACAAATAATGCATCAGTCAGTCTCGTACAAGAGCTTGAAGTCGCCTAACTGAAGTATATGAAGTTTCTATGTATTATCCTGAAAAAATCCGTAATTTTTCGATCTTACAAGATCATATCTCTACAGGAAACATTCAAGTACCGAAATCATGACTTCCTAACGCATGTGTTGCATAAAGGCTTGAAATGGAACGCTATAATCAGTCACCTTTCGAGTCTTGTTACAACAGAAATTGACATAAGAGTATAAAATAATAGGGAAAAGGGAGAATTCAGTGTCGTCGTTTCTCTTTTCCATTTCTAATCAGCTAAAACTTGAATGCAACCAAAGACGAAACTCGTAACAATGAATCAGTCTGTATCACATGAGTTAGAACGACATCATCATGCTAAATAATAGGATTAAACAGAGAAGGTTAACAGGAACCAAAGGATGATATAAGAGACTAATGGAATCATTGGTCTAAGGTCATGACTTTCAACCACTGGGTCACAAGTTTGAACGTTGATCCACCTACCGAGGTTTGGGCAGCTAGGTAGTATCATCAGTTCTCACAAAATAGGTGTGGCTCATTGCTTACTGCACAAATGTACACAAGGCTGTTGAGTGCATCCCAATTTTTTTGGATTGATCATATACCAGTTAGTCATGAACAGTCTGTTCAACTTAAAATACATAAACCGTTCTTATCGATGATACGTGGTAAAAGGCGATAGATAGGAATCTGTGAATCCACAATCAATGTTGGCAGTCATCAGAAAAATGATTGATAGAATTTGGCCAGTATTTAGGCATAAACGACAAACAAACTGGTTACTCTCCAGTAACCATTCAAACATGTAGGTCAATTTTAGCTAGAATAACTCTATGGTAATGTCTCCAAATGTACCACTGTGTGATGCGAGTTCAAATACGTGTGTAGAACTCGATTGTCTAGAGTTAACAGATAGCCTTTGCTGACTGGTCTCAATATACATGAAACACAGGTTCAGAGTTTCCGGCTAGTTGCTTCCAATCACAATGAAACGCTACCCTCAGTTTTCTAGCTAGGGAGGTGACCATATTATAAAATGTTTTAAAAATAGACAACACGAAATTGGTTACTCTTCAGTGGCTAATGAACATAAACCTGCTATTATCATACATTTACCACTTCCATAAATTCACAGTTTTTCAGTCTGAACTCAAACAAGTTGATATTGAGTACGCAAATGTTGTTTGGTACGGCTGAATGCTGAACAAACTGGCTAACAAAAGTATCGCTGACATACAAGTATATATCACAGTGAAATCATCAGAGAGTATAGCTTAGCGAATATCTGATGAGTTTTGTCAGACGAAATCGTTGTTCATCATGAAACTTAAGTCACCATTCAAACAATAAACAAAGACCAAGTACTTTAGAATTGGTAGAAACAGCAAACCAATTAATCACTACCACCTATATGTCTTCTAAGAATGATTAAATTTCTAGTGAAACAGTGACGATGAACATTGGATGAATTATCATAAATGACAAGCCTAGTAACCAATAGCTGTATCGAGTGAAATGTTCATTGACGTAATAATCCTTCATTTTTGTAACATTGACTAAGATGGCTTGAACATGTACTACGCATATCCAGCCACCGCCTACCTCGACGTACAATGCTGGCAAAAGTTGGATTAGGTTGGAAGCGGGTTCAGGGTGGCCAGTTAATGAAGTCTCTAACTCTTTACCTTATCTGTATGATGAAGACTGTCTAGTTGGGGTCTCCGAAATTATACGAATTAGTGGTTAAGTAACCTTTGTTAAATGGCTGAAAGTCGATAACAACAGCACAGATGTATTCTCTCCTTGACATCTTCTAAGGCTTGAATATTCATATTAACTTTTGCTTTCTCTCACACAACTTTACCTAGTTTGATATCATTCTTATTTTATCCACCTGTTTTACTGTGAAGTACGGAAACTTAAGTCGAAGCACTTGTATACGAGGTTCTACGTTGATTTCCTCTGCCTGTATGTCTATCTGTCATTTTTGTAACAGGTTTTAAATATTTGTTAGATCGTATGGGTTACATAAGATTTACAAGAATAATCAATTTTTATTTCCTAGATTCTACAAAAAACTGTGTGAATTCAGCTGACAAGTGACGTTCTCACATTAATTAACATTATTGTAATTTGAACAGTGTGTAAATTCTCATTGCAAAAACTTTCAGTTTGTTAACAGAAAAAGTATTCAAAAAATTAAATTAATAATCCAGTATTCATGTTAGTAAGCTAAAATAATGAAAGATACCAAACTAAAATATAAAAAATGAAATGAGGTATCGAGCAAAACGTAGGATATTACTAAACCCTCTCGAGCAATTTAAATTATGGAAACAACTAGTATTATTCCTGATACCGTCGTTGATTGGACCGAATAGATCGGTTTCCATTGACATATGGGCTCATGTGCGGATGCCTCGATATTACCTGTGTTTTAATTCTAGTATAATACAAGCAATAATACTAAAACTATACTTGTCGCACAGGGAGCAGCTATCGTGGTTCGGTGGTTTAGTGGATGACGCTCTGGCGTTTCAAGCTATCGGTCCCAGATTCGAGTCCCAGTAGGGACAACATCACTCACTAGGAGGCAGCTACATCCAGCTGACGAGTCCCAAATAGGACGAAATGTGTATCCTGGATTCCACTGCTAGCCACTATCCATCATTATAGAGACGATTGACTAGATAGATACTGGTTGCATTACATTCAGAAATTGAGGCAAGTATTTGAACAATCTAATCTGAAAATCCACTTAAAGGTTAACGATACAACTGAAATAGTCATTGGTCGTGTGTATAATACTGAAGAAAACTTATTCTAGCTCAATATATATTTATCTGTTGTACAGCGTTGATATTCCAGATCAGATATCATCAGAATAACATGAGATATCAGACAAGATGCAAAAAAAAGGTATACTATTGGATGGTTACCATAGGAATAATTGTCTCTATCCTCCAATTATATTAGATAAAACCCTAGGTGTCTATCAAGATTGAGAAAACATTTTCATTACCATCCTTCCTATAACATCCTTCTTCTTTTCTTTGGTATACTACTATGCAAAAAGATACGACAATATAAATTATGAGTTATCCACTGTTTGTTCCAGTTATCGGATTTACACAGTCACATCAGTATTTATGAAAAATGAAATACAATATTTATACATATAACTGGCAACACTTTTGATAGATGTCAATGTAATGTAATTCATAACTAGTCAAACTTACAGATTTTATACTAGGCCATGTGGTAGCTTCTAGTGCTGGTCCACGGATAATATCTGACAGGCAAACAGGATAATTATTTGAATGAATATGTCCCACTTGATTTAGCCAATAATGATTAACTTTATTCAGATGAGAATATTCTAAGTTAGCTAAACGATCTGTATAATATGTTCCAATAATTCTGTAATGAAGGAATAAAGAAACAAAACTAACGTGAGAATAAAATGTATGAGGATATCGAACTTTACATATGAACAAAATAAACAGTATAGAGAAGTGTTTCTGCAGTAATTAGGCAACAAATAAAAGCTGAAATGCGACCAGCAGTTCGTAAGACAGTGAAAAAGCTTGCAGAAAAGCAGAATTAGCTGGAGAGCTGTTATGAGAAATAACGAATCAAACTTTATTTAGAAATGCTAACTGCTGTAATAAATGAATTACTGAGACCGTAAATGGATCATGGTGAGAAATTTCTTTTCTCTGAATGGCTTTATTCGGATCGTTAAAGATTAGCCAGTTACCAAAAAGCTTTCATTTGAATTAACAAAGAATTCAGCAAAGCAAATCTTCCTCTGATTTAGTTGTCTGCTTGGTGGTTAGCAGTGAAGTCCAGGACACGTGTTTCGCTTTATTTGGGACTCATCAGCTGGACTTATCTGTACCTCAGTGAGTGACGTTGTCCCCACTGGGACTCGAACCTAGTACGCCAAAGCATTTTTCCACTAGCACCGAATAAAACGAAACGTGCATCCTAGCCTCCACTGCTAGCCACCAAGCAGAGGAAAATATAATAAGTAATCGGACAGTATTGAGGCAACCACACACAATACCACCTCCTAACAGAGGTGGAGCTACTGGATCCAATATGACAACGGGAGATAATAAGTGTCAAATAATCTCCCTCTGGATTTTTAGCCTGAAAAGGGGAACATATACGTTCTAGAGTATCGCACATAATATATTGGACATTATATGACCGTAAAAAACACGCATAAAAACTATCAATCTATAGCATATGACGGAGTAATTACTAATCAGGCAGAATATACGCTAATTATATTTGGTCTGGGACGAACAAGACTTCTATAGAAGGCAAGCAAGGTTATGTTACAAACTCACTGAATGATGATTTTATTAGACACAGGAATGTAAATAATTGATAAAAGACAACAGATTGCAGACGAAACATATGAATCATCCATCAAAAGTCAAAATAAACTCAACAGACCGCACATTCGTGAACTTGACAGTAAATGGATTTATAAAGTTCCAACAGATTATTCTTCCCAAACTCAAATCACTGGGAACGAAATAACCACAAAAGCAAGTTCTGGTGTCAAATAAATTATTACAGAGAAAATAAGAACTAAAAAAAAGCCAGTTCTTGCCAAAATGATTCCACCGTTAGCTCCTATACATTTACCAAAGCCTTATGGTCTCATTGAGATGTAGAAATCAGTCATAACATAGCATATGAAACTACCATGCATGTTTCGCGTTTTAAACCAGTAAGTTCCCGGTCTAATAGCATTTACCAGCCATTGAATAGCTGGTGATTATTTCAAAACTAGTTTTCGAGGCAAGTTATCTGCTGTTTGAAACGATGGCTGCAGGGTCTCTATAGCAACACTATCAAAAACGTGTATACTGGCAAGTTTAACTGGCAACTATTATTAGACAGGATGAGATGTGAACTGCGGATTGCCCTAATAATAGCTTTTAGAACATTTCATTCACTGAAATATCATTTCATTGCTGCATTATACTGTCAAGTTACTTCCAACGCACTTTTTCCAAGTCACGACAACATACAGCTTGAGAATAAATAGTTGTTCTTCACAAATATCAACCTGAGTTTTTTTCCTAAACATACATATTTACAAACCATTGGAGTTTACTGCTCCTTAGAAAAATTTCGAAGTCAGTGAATACGAACAAGCAGTCTGAACTTTTAAAAAAACCAACAACACCTGGAAAAAGCAGATTATTTTTGAGAATCTACTTTTTCTTACTGATATCCTCGTAATTTTTCGTCGTTTTACTGGATCCAATTAACATTCAGGCAATATTGAGGCCTCCACATAGTAGGAGAACATGTGTCAATAGAGGTCGAACAATTAGATCCCATAAAACAACGGAAATAACAAGTACATCAATAAGTAGCAATAACTACTACCCGTTTTTACAAAAAGTGACCATCATGCCTCCGTGGCATAGTGGATAACGCCTTGGTGTTTGAAGCGACGGACACGAGGTTCGAATCTCAGTGGGAATAACACAACTCATTGGGGTGCAGGTACATCCAGCTGACGAGCTCTAAATAGGATGAAACGTGCATCCTGAATTCTTCTGCTAGCCCCCAAACAGGTAGATTATCATACTTTACCTTAGGTTGGAATTTTTTAAATCTCAGTACTTTAACAGCCATCAGATTTAAGAGCCTAGAAGTTCACCGAATGTACAACAATGCTAATGACATTGGATATCAGTGTTTTGTGTACGTTAGTGAGATAAATATGGCCAATAATTTGTGCTTTTCAGTGAAGTTAAAATGGATATTAATTGATGCTGAAAACCATTTGAGACACACCAATTTACACTGATACTTCTAATCAGGCGATCTGAACACTTGATAAGCACGTATGAATTTCACTTCAATTATTTCAGTCTACATAACTAGTCAGTAGCCGACATACACACAAATCATTCAACTCATTGTCTAGTTTAAAGCTATTGATGAGTGAGATAAATTTACTCAACACGCTAACAACTTTTGCAATATATGTAATCAGATATTTGTTAGTAGTACATTGTACTCCAGGCCAATTTTGAAGTATAATTGAATTAACAAGGATAAATAAAGTGGGGGAAAAGAATAAGGACAAAAAACATTTTTATGCGAAAAGAATATTGAATAGCACACGAGAAAGGGAAAATTTTCACTAGGCAGACTTACTAACAATGAAAAAGACGTTTGTATGAAATAATAATAACAGTCCTAATAGCATAAAATGTATTCTAAATTTTGACAGATTACTGCATCTGGAACAAGTAGTAAGCATCAGAGAAAAAAAAACGATTTTCAAAAAAGTGGTTCAACATTATCAACAGCATCGTCATGATTATCACCTTCACTGTAACAAAAACGAAGACAGGAAAAATATTATGCGCAATATGAATGACTGGTAGGCGCATCAAGGAGAAGTGGTGTAGTTGTGCAAGTAAAAAGACATACAGACAATGAAACACGCAAATGCATATATGTATAACTCAAAATCATTATCATCGCCTGCATACACAAATAAGATTGGGTGGTCGACTTACTCGTTATAATAATCATCCACTAGATTGGACCAATGCAATTTTTTACGACTACATATGTTTTCATGTTGATACGATTTGACTGCAATCTGTGATTCACTTGAACCGATAGGCTTCATAAATGTAAATATGCATCATGTACACATACATATACATACAAACAAGAAAGAAAGAAACAAAACTTCATGGAAATTAATTCAAGTATACAGACTAGAGATAATAATTTCTTACAAATTAATGATTTAAACATAAACAGAAAGTCTAGAAAAAAGATCTATGCTGGCAGGAGTTGATTATATTCAAACTAAATAAACTTTTAAGTAAAACGATAAAACATGAAAATTATTCACTAATTTCACAAGTGAAGAGTAAACAATATTATACTATCAAATATTATTACTGTTCAACAGAAATTTCATATAGCTGGTTCCCTTCAAAAAATTTTTGCAAAGTCAAAACAACAATTTTAGCAGAATACAATGAATTCATTGTGTTTCGTCGCCATCTCTTCAACTACACACTGGCTATAATTTCATAAGATATATGTAGAAAGAAATAAAATCCACATAATCCACTCATCACAAAGATGATAGTTCATTGATAACATAATGAAAGAATTGATACGGATTAAGGAAGTTTAAATGGAATAATCTGTGATTACTAAGACCGAAGTTATCTTATGTCTGTGTAGTCAGATTGTCATTCTGTTACATGTTAGTAATCGAAAATGAAGTAGAAAACAATACACAAGTGTATGTAATGAGTTAATAGTGAAAATACAGGATTTTGGAAGGGGTTATACCGAACGACAAAACAAATCAGTGGTAATCATGGGAGATCGAGGTTAACAACTGCCTCTTTTTGGTTTATCAGTTTAATTCTTTTGATGGGAATTGCTTAATAGCTCAGCATTGTTTTGTTTCTTAATTATTTTAAACGCTTTCGAGATCTGGATGTCGTGTTGTGTGTCTATCAGATGTTTAGTAATGACACTTTTAAGACACTTTGGCTCCTGTAGGCTGAACTTATTCGAAATGTGTTCATGAAATCTTGTCTCAGCCCTCTTCTTCGTCCTTTCAATTTACGTGCTCTGATATGTACATGTGAATTGGTAGATATAATTATTACACATTACATACACTTATGTATTATTTTCTACTTCATTTTCGATTACTAACATGTAACAGAATGACAATCTGACTACACAGACATAAGATAACTTCGGTCTTAGTAATCACAGATTATTCCATTTAAACTTCCTTAATCCGTATCAATTCTTTCATTATGTTATCAATGAACTATCATCTTTGTGATGAGTGGATTATGTGGATTTTATTTCTTTCTACATATATCTTATGAAATTATAGCCAGTGTGTAGTTGAAGAGATGGCGACGAAACACAATGAACTCATTGCATTCTGCTAAAATTGTTGTTCTAGCTTTGCTAAACTGTTCAAAAGGTTTGCAGTATAGTTATTGTCCTAGATGATACAGTGTTCCTGTGTATTGTATTTTGGGTGGAATTTTGGATTTTAGTCTTTCAAATAGTGTACAGAGTAAACAACCCTGAAACAGATCCCTCAGATGGAACTTCAACGTAAGTTTGAGACAACTATGAACCTTCTGTACTATTACACACTGGTCAGGCATATGTTTCGGTAACAAATATCGTGGTTTGTTGCAGATATGTAGCTCATTGATTTAGGTAGTCGACCGGTCAACCAGTCGGTCAAGGGTTGGAACCCCGTTCCACCTAAGTGTGGCCAGACGAGTAGTATTATTAGCTGTCACACAATGTGTGGCTCGCCGCTAACCGCATGAACGTGCAAGTGGTTGCGGTATCCGTTTCGATTCGACTCGACTTTCAAAAAGCTTCTTGATGGAGTCGGATGCTGCTTATATATCCGGCAAAAGATGGGAATCTGATCGGAACACTCAACACAAACCTTAAAACTCACCCAAATCTATTCCTCTCTCTCTCTCTCCAGCCTCAGTTAAACACTGAATGGTCATTACAGGAGGATCTATCTTCTTTCTTGTGAACTGAGATAATCAAAGATAAAGGAGATCGCACCGCACTTCTACATCCGACTTAGAACACCAGTTAAAGTACATAAAATCCCAAGCGACCATCTTTAAATACTTTGAAAGCAGCGCATCAGAGCTCGCTCTCTTTGTCCGTTTCAAAAACCTTAAAACTGCACCTTGACAAAAGTTGGAAGTATGGCGTCAACTTTCGATTGACGCTGTGACTAAAACACCTCCACTGAAAGTGAGTATAAAATGACAGGCAGTATTTGATAACGTAAGATTAAGGTTAAGATACTAAATAAATGTGATTAATAAATCGATGAGACCGTGAACCTACATTAATAAGGACGGATGGTGCATAACATTCATATGATCATCCGTTTTCTACAATGTGGTATGAAGCTGAGTGGAGTGAAGATGAGATCGAAGAACTAGCCATATGTAAGGACCATGAAATAATAAATTTGTCAGTTGACTTACTAATGAGTAGACTTTTGTCAAGACAAATAGACTTTCTTGTTATTCCCGGCATTCGACAATAATGATGCCGTAAAGTTTAAAAGTGTTCCTTCAAGAACTGTTGATCAAATCATATTTGCACATATGTAGCATTTTAACACACATTTTAATTTTTATTTACATTCACATAACCTTTCACTTTAATGTGCTAGTACCTATTTATGCTATCCATTAAGCAGCTCTTCTCAAAGAAGCTAAAGTATGTGTACACTGTTGTAATTCAATATTTGAGTATTAAAGATTGTAAATAAGTGATGAATTAAGAAAACAAAGTATATTTTATTTTACTGTGCTAGATTTGGTGCTCTTACATTTTTTAAAGTCACTTAAACTTACCCTCAACACTACATTGAACCTTTAAATCGTTCACATGCTACGTACATAACTCTTACATACTTTATTTAGTCATAGTATTATATTGCTCTCACTAGATTTAGAAACTGCCATCCAATGTCAAATACCAAAGATAGCTTAACAAAAAAAACTTAGGATAGCTTCTACACAGTTTCAAAATTTCTCGATTCTTAAACTTCTCAGAAAAATAAAATTAATACAGACCCTGTAGTTCATGCGACCATTAACAATCAAAATTCTAGTTTAGTGATACTGTTCAGTTTGTCAAGATGGATACTTAAAAAAGTTTTCCTACTTTCAGATAATATGCCAGACAAAAATTGGAAATGAAACCAATAAACTGAGTAGTTTGTGGATTTTATGTGAGACGCCTAAAGTCAGTTCAACATAAACGTCAATTTTGATAAACTTAAATTTCGGTGTGACCAAAACATTATATATTTCCGACAAATTGAATCCTGAACATTTAACAAGGTGAAAATATGAATGAAGGTCATATGATATGATTAGTTTAATGCATATAAGATCTATTTGCCTGGTTACAGATTACCTTCAAATTGTAGAAAAGATCTTAAATCAATGAAAATTTATGCGAAGGTTCTTCCTTATTAGAAAAGAGTACAGGAGCAAGATTTTCAAATCTATGTAACATATTGTAAAGAAAAGAACATAAAACACCTAGTGTCAATCATTATTTCAACTTCTAATACTATCGACATGTTAACTTATCGTAGGTTACAACAAACAAAACCTCGATTGGTTATTTATAAACGCCTGAAATCAGAGTAACAAAGATTACTATGCATCATTATGAATCAAGTAAACTTATAAACTTAATCTATAAAAGTCATGACATTTACAATCAACACATTTAATTTCCGATAGATTACAAAAAACTAGAATACTGCCTTAAAAACTATCAGTAAACATATATTCAGTTCAAGAAAATCATATTATACTTCCCATACTATCCCGCGTAAAAATGTGAATTAGTATATGCGATTAGAGATTGTATTGCACACTTACAACATACAAATAACTGCATGTGCAGAAGAGTCAAACAAACTTCAAGAAAATGAATACTAAAAATTGAAATTGAAATGTAACTTGATTAGAGAAGTACTAATATTTTCGCGTAATGAATTATTGACCTAATCTAACGATAGGATAAGAAGAAGCACAAAACTATGCATCAATAAACCCATTTTTACTCTATGAGAGATAACTATTGAAGGTGGATGGCATGAGATTACAAATATTTGGGTATGAATGTCTTCAAAAAGTGTTGTTCAAGTAGTGATAATCACTTCGCAATGTTATGGCTAAATGCAAGCTTCTAAGCAAGTAATATAGATCAATGACTGAAATAACTCTGACTTTCTCATTTAATAATATACTTACAGTTAGAGGATGTATAATATTAGGTAATTGAAGAGATTCCTTTCGAAATTCAATCACCAATTTTTTCAATGAAGCCTAAGGTAAAAGATTCAAAAAACTGTTGAGATAAGGAAGTTTTAAAAAATGAACTAAACAATCATGTATATCAGTCAGAAGACATATTTCAAAAACGTATTGATTATAAAAGGAGAAAAGTGTTGGTGATCATATTTGTTTACAGCGATATCACTCCCAGAATATGTGAAGCCCTTTCAAATCACTAACTAGTGTGAACATTGAATAATAAAAGACCCCAGTGTTTGTCAATATAGCCTAAAGTGAGAAAGACAAGAAGAGTTAGATAGGTTTAATGATTTACAAAATAAATGAATGAAAAATTTGCTTTTGAGTTTTAACATTAGTCAGTATATTTAACTTAGTCTATTAGGACTATAACATCACCTTTTTTTAAGCGAATTATTACGATTTCTTCTCTATGTTTCAATTGTTTTGATTGTGTGTTTATGAATTGGTGAAAACAGTCGAGTAAGGTGGATTTAAAGTGTTCAAGATATTTTAAAGACAAAGTAGTTGGATAATCCGTCCAACAGAAACCTTCACGTTGGAGTTGATGTAAGTAAATATCCATTACACATTACGTGTTCAAAAGCAGTTTTTCTGCTCACTTTCCTCATTTAATTACTTTTTAAATCGTTAAACCCAACTAACTCCTCATGTCTTTTTCTCTTAGATCTATGCGGTGACAAATATCGGTGTCTTTTAGTAGTAAAAGTGACTGTACAGTTTTTGAGGATGATATCACTAAGAACGAATGCGGTCGTTAATCCCTTTCTTCTTTTATGACTCAACAGGAATATTCGAATTTCTTACTGATTACTTTGTAGTGTGAGGTTAGCGATAATATCCTAACAATCCGGTATTTTTCACGATATGACATCAGGTACCCTAAGGATTACTGGTCAAAATCATCACTGTAGAGATTTATCAACATGATGAGTAAAAAATACTCGAGACAGTATCTGGACATTAGAACAAAACTTCTGTATGAAAGGTATATATATATATATATATATATATATATATATATATATATATATATATATATATATATATGCTATGGAAAACAATGTCTACCTAATAGGAAACGTAATACTTTCGAGTATTCCATAACCTTGAGATCAGAATTTTTACAGTTTAACTACCTGATTACTTATAACTATTCATAATTATTTACATATATAAGAAGTTGTGACAAATTTGTTTTTTGTAGGTGAAACCACGCAACTCAGCTGTTGTATACAGACGCTTAGATTAAGCTATGAGTTATACCTACCCCTTTCTCTGCTTACCTTAAACAGTGAAATTGTATTACCTAAACCAGATAAGGCAAGATTCAACCAATTTTACATATATCTTCACAAATTTCTTTGAATTAAGGTCTATTACAAAGTCATGATAAAATATTTCACATTTCAAACAGACAAAAATACTTATGAAAAGAATAGCTACAAACCTCGAGTGATTTACGTTCATTCCTTACAGCACGTGCAGAAGCTACAATTTCATCTGAACCCTTTGCAACACCAAAAAAAAAGCAAAAATATAGATTCATTTTAATAGGTAATGTAAAAATACATCCATACTGACTATTCAACTAAAAAAGTTCTGACTAGGCAGCCAGTGTGAATACGATCAAGCGGTAGTAACGCATCACGGATTCATATGGTAGTCAGGCAAAATCCTTGGTGATTGAAGTGAAATAAAATTCTGATCAGCAGTCAGACCTCGTAGCTCAGTTGGTAGAGCACCGGCCGGCAACGCGACGGTCGCTGGTTTGAATCCGGCCGCGGTCCAGATTTTCATCTCACTTTCAATCACCACCCAGTATTAAAAAAAATCAAAAGTGTGTATCATTTGCCTTTATTTAAAAAGAATTATGAAGCTTTAAAAATATTAAAAATTTCTCTCAAATAAATTTATGGTTATCAAATTATTTTATCTAAACCAAAGATGGTGTAATCGGTGTAGTAAAATACAAACGAATTGTTGTTGTGCGTTTTGCTGAACTCGTAAAAAAGGTAAGAATAAACATAAACGAATAGACATTTCTTAAATCAGCCAGGAACACATACAGGTTCATTGGATTACCTTAATTGTAAGTCGTATAACTAAAGTACACGCCAAGTGGGTTACAATGAATTTGTTAAGTCGAACAGCTAGGCTATTGGAATGCATAGTAAAGAATACTGCATATCAAGTTAAATGATTATAAATATGACTCCATTACATCGGTGTTAACAAACACTGTGTTGTTGTACACAATTTGTGTAACCAATTTAATCTTGTCTACTCCAAAAAGTCAACCAAATTCCATCGACCATTTTTTATTAAGGTCGCCAAACTAGAAAGCTCAGCATTACAATGCACTCCGGTTGATGTTAGAGGATTGGAGGTGTACGGCAGAAAGCTCTGGACCTAAGTTTTCAGCTCCTCAGGTTCCATCAGCAAGACTTTCCCGAAAATTCAAGGGACCTGGTGTTCCTAGAGGGATTAGGACCGGCGTTGCCAAGTGCTGCAGTCAGAAACACTACCACTGAGCTACTGAGGTCGAAAACAACCTCAAGAGTGCCAAAAGCACGAAAATCAGGTCCAGGCCATCCTAAAGACTCCCTACAACTAAATAACTTCATTGATGATAGAGTTAAAGACATTATCTCGTTATCATAATTGATATATGATAGCGGGGTATGAAGATTAAGTGCACACCTCCACTAATGATCATTGAGTCAATGCTTCGAATTATTGGTCACTATTCTAAACACCCAGAAAAGTCATAACATTAATTACAGTTAACCAAGTCATGTAAAGGCTTGTGTACTGTGAAGTAAGTCCTACTTATTTTGTGACCGGCTTACGATACTACCTGGTTGAAAAAAATCACAATAATTAGAGAAGTCTTGGACCTCGTAGCTCAGTTGGTAGGGCATCGGGCCGGAAACCCGGTGGTCACTGGTTCGAATCCGGCTGCGGTTCACATTTTCATTTCACCTCCAATCATCATCCAGTATAAATACTAATCTGTCAAACTACGGCTATCCCAAATAGTCAAGTGAAATTCCATTGTCTAGATCAAAGAACCAGAACTTCCTACTCACAACGTTATCTTTTTTTCAGCACTGATTATCGAGCTGCGAAAAGCATTTATTCCCCCATAATTCCCACTGTAGAGGTTTCCATTGATGATTTTTCTTAATCCATAGCGTTTACCAAACTATATTCAATCTCTCTATGGCAACATACAAGCATTTCAAAAACTTTATAATAGTAAATACCTGTTTGTTTGCTTCATATTGACTCCGAAGAGAATCCCTAACCGTCTTCAGGGTATTTATTTTCTCACACATACCATCGATTTGCTTTTGCAAGTCAATCTATAAAATCAAACAAGTTTTAATCTTGAAAAATGAAATAAGCACATCCACTACATTTTTTTTGTAAGCATATGGATAAATGAATTTAGGAACCAACATCATGGCGTCCTTTGGTGCAAGACACCTGAAAAAAAAACTCATGAAGAACATTTTACATCGTGTGACACGTTAGACAGACACAATCAACTTAGAACCTCGCACACAAGTGAATCAGTTCAAGTTGCCACAAGTCACAGTAGTATACAAAGAACAGGTGGATAGAATAAAACTGATATCAAACTAGACAAAGTTATGCGAGACAACAAGCAATTTGAAGATAAAAGTTAGTGCGAATATTCAAACTTTAGAAGACGTCAAATATTGAATACATCTGTGCCATTGTGGCCGATCTTCAGCCTTTTCACCAAGTGTCCTTAACTACTGGTTTCTTTCAAGGGCCCCAGTCAGGTAGTGAATATCTCTCAACACGCCTCAGATCAACAGTCAGGGACTTCATGGACCAGTGCCACGTCTTGATCTGACCACCCTGAACCCTCTTTCAACCTAATCCAGCTTTCCATAGCATGGTACGTCGAATTAGGCGGTGACTCAGCATGCGCAACGCATGTCCAAGCCACCTTTTTGACACCTGTCGCTAAATCATACCTACACCTTAAAGAAACTTTCGTTCCATTCTAGAGCTCAGCTGTCAAAGTTAAGCACTGTAATCAGAAGCTGATTGAAAGGCCTGGAAGTAATGCTGCTTATGGTGTTTCCGAACATCTTTGGTCTGAAATTCTAAGAGAGAGCATGATTCCTGTCAAATCTGAACATATATCTTTGAAATGAAAGCCTAAAAGACCTAGGTATTTCTATGCCCTAAGGTCTGACGTCTCTATTACCACTAAATATTCGGCTTCATGGAAAAATTTTGAACAAAAGTCTGCAGGATACCTAGTAAAATATCTTGTCAAAAAATTACGGTTACATTCATTGATTATACGTTAAGTATACAGCTCTTGCTTTACAACCAACATTGATAAAAATCATATATGCGATTTTTCAACAATGATTTCTTCAGTATGAGAGTTTACTGAATGTAGGTAAGAAAGTTATCACAAAAATTAACCTACTATTTTATCAATATTGAATCTTTCATATATGCCTCTAGCCTTCAAACTATTTCTGATATTCTCCCAATTGAATACAGGATCAGGAAAAACGACAGCAGAAAAATGGCCATCATCTTGATATAAAGCTGATCCACTTAGTGGATTATCTTTAGCAGCATCTAACTTCTCTAGAAATTCACCGTCATCTTTTTCAGTATACTTGTGGTCATTTTGTTGGAAGGAATGACACCAATTACGCTGGGAAAAGACAGTCGAATCCACAGCGAGTATTAGTTTACTTATCCTGTACCATTTGAATTGATATAAGAGGAAATTGCCAGAAACCATAAGAATATCTGTGATATTACCAAGAAAGAAAAAACAAGTGACTTTAAAAATCTTTTGAAAACTATTCACATACGGTCTGGAAGTAATTCTGAAGATCGATGACTGTCACTATGTGATTTCAGGAATACCTGCCTTTATTCTATTTTTCAGCAGTTTATGGGGCTGTAGTCCACTAGTTTAGGTGGTCGGCGTTCAATTAGGAGGTCGAAGGTTGGAACTCCACTTCATCTGCCAAAGTGCGGACGGCCAATTTCTTTCATTAGATATAGCTCATCACCTGTTGCACGAATGTGTACATGGTTTCTGACTACATCTCAATTTATTTCCAATGTTAGAAATCACCAGAATTCAGACCTTTGAGCATGGCTTCAAGTGAGGAATACAGTAATTCAACATTAACATTTTTTTTCATCTCTTTGGCAAGTAAGCAGAGTAACGTAGATGCTTTGCAACGACTCATGTCTTCCACTAGTATAAAAAATGCTTTCATGCTTATCTTATCCATTCACTGAATAAGATAGTGTCACAACAGAAAACAGTCAGTCAATATTAACATGCGACTTCTGTAAAAGTTCGAATTGTCACATGACAAATAAGCTTAATCCAAAAGATAAAGGAATGGGAATAATAAAAGCAAAAGCCGTTGATATATAACGACTTGAAATATGATGATTACGATAATGCGTGGATGTGTCTGCTTCATTGACACTAAGCCAGATTTATCATATTTACTTGGTTGTGGATAGCAGAGGAATCCATGATGTGAGTTTTGCTCAGTCTGGAACTCGTCAGTTGGATATGCCTGCACCCCAATGAGTGATGTTGTTCCCACTGAGACTCGAACCTCGTACCTATCGCTTCAGACACTGAGGAGAATTACGAGTATATTAACAAATATTACTATCTAAGCCAGATTACTTAGTCACCAACCATCGATTTCCGCTATCTCCTGAATCCCAACTAGGAAGTCTACGTTCGTGTACACAGCTAAAACCAGCAGTTATACACTTTATGGACTGATGTCATATTCTAGACTGACCGCCTTTAACTTTCTTCTAACTTCACCATATTTCGGTTAACATTTGCTTAGGAAAAAATGGTGACTAGATATGAGTGGTATGTATTCCAGCCACCTAAGTCGAGGAAGGTTCACAACCTCTTGGACCAACTTACCTCTTCCACCTAAGAATCTACACCTAACATCTACATTACTAAGGTGGTGGTTCCATGATACAGTCTAAGCTGCGAAAACAACAGTGGTCGAGTGCATGACGAATTTTTCATGTCCTTCACTTTCACAAGCTATTTTTCATAGCTGTATACAGAGCGAATTACTGCGCAGTACGCTCAATCCTTAGAAGTCAAATAGCTTAAAGGTGTCATAGACGACGTCAGGTGACAAGAGCGAAGCGAGCTTTTTGTACCTATGCAAGTGTTGCATCGACCACCGACCAAACGGAACTGATCTAACTTATTAAGTGAAGTGGTCGTAGTCCTCAACCACTTCATTCCCTATAGTCGAAAGCAATATTGGTGCAAACCAGTCCTGAAGTAATAATTTACATTTGGTGATGGGAAACCTATCTCGAAAATGAAATATCAGGTGGTTCGTGCTGATCAACAAGAAGCATTGAACCAAGGTTTCGAGGGGAGGAAATACTCATCAGAAAAGTATATGTGCACAAATCCGAGGAAACTCTTATCCCCCCCCCCCCCATAATTCAAGTTCTGTATCGCAGAACGTAGATTCTGTGCTTATCGATTTTTCCTAACAATCAATTAAAGGACATCACAATAGAAACAAAATTTAATTAACATCGGGTTATATTTATAACCACACTACATAAGATGACACTTTGTAACATGTGTACAACTAATTGAATGAGTAGTTAGAAATCACTCAGATTAATCAGTAGTGTTAACTAGTCAATTGAGGTAGCACAGACAACAAAAAAAGTGTTTCACTCGTTTATGGTCAAGATCAACAGCCATGCTTGTAGATTGATTCAGCTGAGACCCAAGTCGGTAAGCCAAATAGCCGTAAATATTATGCAGTATTTTGGTTACATTCTTGATGCACATTAGATCACAATCTGCAACTGGATATTTTGATCTTCAAGTGAAACCATGGAAGAATCTCACAATTGACTTACTACTAGTTGTATCATCTTCACCACCAGTCAAAAGACTGACTAACAAGTTAGGTGAAACTCCGTAGTTTACGCAAAGCAATAAATATAAGCATTCAACAACCACACGGCCTCATTAAACAATTCAACTAGTGCATATCTTTTATGATGGATTCCCAGTAGAAGGTTTTTAAAAAAAAGTAGATTGGTTGTTCGAAAAAAGTCTAAAATTTGACTCTTATTATACCGCAGGTCTAGACAGGTACGCATTTTTGTATGTTTCGTCATGATTCAGGAAGTTTAGATGAACGAACAAAGAACAAATGGATCGTATTCTGATTCGATCATAAACATGTACTTTTGTTTTATGAACAAAAACAACTGAGCAGTCAAATTTCAAAGTGATGCAAACGAACCAATTTCAGAATGAAACTTCATACAGCTGTGGTCAGAAAATCAATTCACACCAGCTTTTACTACAAAAGTACCAATAGACTACGAATACTTTATGTTCCTTGACTTCAAAACAGAAATACTACTAAAACTAAATATAAGTAAAAAGTATTTTACTTATAAATTTGCACTGCAATAACGTCGCATTCCAATGGACGAATTACAGCTGATAAAGTGCTAAGTAAATAAACTATATACACAGCTAAAGAAGGACTGAGAGATTACATATGTACATAATTGTTCAGTATTAAGTGTCACTGTGCATATGCACTACATAACTATTATCGATATCTGATAATTATCGCATATAACAAAAGTTATACTCAATTTTGTTGTTTTTAGACTACTTAAATCAACTATGTGCGATTCCCAAGCCAAAATAATAACCGCGACAAAAACAAGGTATCCAGGAGTAAAACTATGGTTGGAACCTACATTCGAAAATCAGTCTCCAACTATTGACTTAACATTTTGAGAACACCAGTCAGATAACCTACACAGTTAAGATCAACAACTAGAGACTTCATTGATTGCTAAAACCTCCTGGTCTAGTTATCCTTAGTCTTCTTTTAATTCACTCCTACCTCGGATAATATCTCACGTTATGGTATGCGGTGGTTTGATATGAACGTCACATACTCAAGCTATCTCAGTCACTGAATGTTCACAACTTAATCGTCTAAACCACCTTTCTTGTCTAGTATCCCACGCCTAATTACAACATTGCTCCCACAGTGATTCCACTGACCATATGTAGTGCATCGAAAAAAAGAGCGATTAAAAAACTGTGACCTCTTCGCATCTACACCATCAAGGATCATGTTTTACAGTTTAAAATAGCAGTGCCCTCATTGTATTGTCATAATGTAACAGCTTGAATAAATCCAATACCCATAACCGGTTTAAAGCTGCCTACGTCAGTTAAATAACCAACCAATTTTAATACAATGCACTTCAACAAAATGAAGACGAAAAAAGGCATTTAATTACTCAGTGAACAACTATCTACCAGAACTGGGTTTCATGCGACATTGTTAGTACTAAATAAAACCGATTAAAAAGGGAGCGCAAATGAAGACAAGCAAAAAAGAGATCAAACTGAACTAATACACTGACAGTAGTTTGCATCAAATAAGCAGAAAATAAAAAATACACTATCCAAGAGAAATTATTTTATTATGTATCTGTATGAAGATAAGATAATAAGATTTACAAACATCTCAGGAAAGTCAGCAATAAAAAAGAAATGAATTTTACAGGAAATACAAACAGCCTTATGTTTTTTCATGTTCATCTAAATGACGATAAACACGACGCAGTTTTTCTTTACGCTTTTTCGGTCTGGGAAAATTCTTTACAGTCCCATTTTGATTTGATATTGGTATGTTATGCCCTGAACTCAAGTGTTTGGAATGACTCAGCAGACGCCAAGGCTTTTTAACTGTTCCATCTTCGAAAATAACTGGTGCTGTCCCACTGCTAAGGCATGAGAAGTTGCTGACAGTTTCAACTGAGCCTACAGTGCTCCAAGATGCAGTTGAGGATACATCATCATCATCCAGGGTGGGTTTGTCGATTTGAGAACGTAGAATAGGTATTCTCTTGTTAGATTTAGTGTGCTCACGTGGACATTGATCCTTTATACAAAACACAAAGTTTAAAAAGTCACTAATAAAATTAGTTTGTATGGGTAGGAGTCTCCAGATTGCAAGAAAGGTCACACTCTGCCACTTTTTCCGACAACTCTATTCTACAAAATCTGACACTCTAGGTGGAAGGTAAACAATCTGAATGTCTGCTAAACACACTGTACACGGTCATATGAGGCACTCAACCTTCAACCGACAGGTCAGTTTCTACTCCTATCTAACCTACCAAAACTTAAACAGATAATCCCGTGTTATCTTATCTGTTGGGTATTTTAAGCAGGGAAACAGAATTATTTACTCCATGACATCGAAAACGATTTATTATTTATCGTCATACCACAAGTGACTCCAAAACTTTGTCACCCTATTCTAAAGTTCTACTTTTTATTCATTATTTGTCGAACAGGTAGTCGAATTTCCGAAATGTCTGGAATAGGTATGTTTTCCACACTGATTCGATAAAAAACGTTAATTATAAACCTCTCCAACTACCCCTAGCTATGGCTCATTGGATTTAAGCAGTTAACTGTCAGCCAGCGGGTCAGAGGTTCAACGCCTGCTACCCCTACAGAAGCTTGGGTGGTCAGGTAATATCACAAACCCTTGTACGATAGGAGTGGCTCACCACCCAGTACATTCCAATTTCCAACTCCATCTGGATAGGTTAACTGTTGAGAGTGTCACTTGATCCCATCACATTGTGTGACAGCATGTATCGCAATATCTGAGCTTTCCCCTAGATTTCTTACTTTACTAAGTTATAACGCTTCAGATTTAGTCAAGCTTCTTTTCTCTGTTGTTCTAATTGATCCCCGTCGATAAATTTAATATTTGACAATCGTTGCACGGAAATCGATAAACGAAATTGTTGTTGTCTAATGAGCTCGAAAAGATACTTTAACCAACGACGAGGACTCGTTATTCGCAGATGAAATAACAAGCATAATCTGTTGAAAATTCTTGCAATTGTAAATTATAAGTGGAGAGCGATAACATCTAAAAAGTCTTAGTTCATCCATCACTTCGTGTTTGCCCATTACCAGGTTTTGTGACAACAGTTTGGATAAAAACAGCCGTTGCATCCGCTAATAACCTAAAATATTAAGGACTTATTACAGCCATGAGTAACAAAAAGCTGTTTTAATAAGAAAATTTATGAAGAGGATGCAATGTTTGCTGATAACGACACCTGACGTAGTTGATGCATTTCAAAAACATTATAGTTGACCTGTTATATCAGTAATTTTAACCTCGTTGTGTTTTGCGCTCTCTAAACTGTTAACATCTCAAGAGGGTCAGAACAGCAATACAGCACTTGGCTCCGAAGTCTTATCTCTTCTCAAGGGTTGAGAACACACTTAAGTCACACAGCTAACCAGATTATTCGAGAAGGCATAACATTGTGCAATATAACACTTTGAAATGAAACGGCTGTTTATTATTCTACTTAATGTATGTTATGCAGTTCTTCCTGTCCATGATGTACTGAGTTTGTGTTTAAGTAAGTAAATAAAAGAATTTGATACTAATAGCAACCATTATTCACTAATTATAAAGCTTTTTCTTATCTAAAGTTAATTTTTATGGGTACTACTAGTATGGTACATATAAATACAATTGTGGCAGAAAGGAAATACACAAACCCGCTTAAATGCCAACCGATCAAATTCGGTAACAATTTCATCAACACATTTAATCGATTCGCGTTTATTCTTTTCTCTCAGTCGTTTGATAAATCTTTCAGCTTTGGATTGATCTGGAAAATGTCCCACCCCACAGGGTAAACCATCATCTCTGCCAAGTGACTGGAAAGCGACAGGATCAGTGACATTTGGAGGAGGATGACAGTATAGTAATTTGCCCTATTAGTTGAAGGAAAAAAATAAGATGTAGAGTAGGGCTATCTTGTGAGTGAACACAATAAGTAACATCATCATTGGCATTAAAATAGAACCAGCTATTACTGTAAAACGGTCCAAGTTGCCACACATATCAACACATCAAGCATGAAAGCACTAAGAAGAAGGATACAGATATAAATGAGAATCAGTTAAAAACAGTAGAAATTAATAAAAAGAGAGGAAGGAGGAATAAAAAAAATAATGAATCAGTATGACGATTAAGATGAGGATAATGTGTGGATACATCTACTCCACTGACAGCGATTCTAAACCGCATCACTTAGTCTCTAACCACTTGCTTCTGCTGTCACGCCGACCCCAAACATGAAGTTTACATTTCCCTGCATGGTTCAGATAAACAGTCAAAGACTCCATACAATGATGCCATGTTTTAGCGTGGCTGCCCCTAATCTTTCTCCAGCATGAACCTAACCCAGCTAACACAGTGCGACGAGGCAGACAGTGAACCACATTAGATTTCATTTCACCATAATACGGATATTATTTAGCACAGCAAACTGCGCATAATTTGTGTATTTGGCGACCAACAGGAATTTCACTGAAATTGACAGTAAATCTTAGAGGTAAGAAGGTATCCCAATCACTTAGCAAAATTGAATAAATATGCTACGAGAAATATCACACTGAATTTCGTCAAAATACTGGGAGGTAGGTCTATTAATGTGTCAAAGAAGTTGCAATTCTCTTTCATAATGCCAACAAAATCATAAACATAAATCGTATGTAATCGTTGCAACAGTTACTGAGTTGTATACCTTTAGTAAATCTAGTTAACCGAATAGGATTAACTACATATAAAAACGCCTAAATCATCTATCTTACCTTTACAAAATCTTTCAAAATAATTCTCGCTGAACGATCATAATTTGGATTTCCTTTAGCCGTCATGAAGCCATGCATAACTAAAAGATTTTGGAAAATTTAAACAGGGTTAAATTCGTTTAACTGCCAAGTCTGTAATATACTTTTCAACTGGAAAAAACAAACAGGACAGCAACAAAAAACCGGTTTGTCTGCAAGAACTAAACATCAGTAGATGACGACGATGAGATAGAGTTCCTACAAACAAGCATATCACATTGACAACGTCAAAATATGCTGATATAAGCTTATTAATGAATGTTATTTGTGAGAACAGATTTCAACGGACGAAATTGGATGGTGATTGTGTTGTATCACGAACTTTCAGAAGTTGAAAAAAGTAAACCACTGGATTTCAACTCACTGACTGCATAGTAAACACGTATTTGCTACAAGACCTGACGCTGTAAGGCTTGATCCTTCACACGATGATGGATGTATAGTCCTGAAAAGCTTCAAACTAGGATGAAACAGATGTTTAGTGCTTTTAAGTATCCGATAATTCTCTAACCGACGTCATTCTGTGCCAAAAACTACTTTGAAACATGTATAGTACAAATACAGTATCTCCACAAATCGTTCCAAACATAGAACCTCTATGATAAATCCTGATGATATATTAGTTACTTCAGTGAACATACTGTACTCGTTGATGAAGTTGAATTCGAATATAACTTCAGTTAATAAATGGTGACCAAATATACATAAAACATTGTAGAGAGAACGAAAGTGTAGAAGTAAAAATATTGGGAATCTGAAATTTGAAAGGCGTATTTTGTAATGTCATGACTGAAATGTTAGTCAGTAAGACTCTACATACGAGACTATTAACTAAAATAGTACAGTATGTAAGAAATGTAGCATTGATCAAACTGGCATTAATTATGGAAAGTAATGATAATGATAGAACATAAATTTAAAAATATGTGAGGAACGATAGTCAAAATTGAAGAAAAAACCTTGCCCATGGCAACATTCAAACTAGAAACTTGTGTTACTGATTTACACACTATAGGAATCAGTGGTTGAGGTCTCCTAATGACATGGATGAAAACGGAACACAATAGTGCAGATGTATTCATTCTACGACTTTTTCTAAAGCTTGGATGTCTTGACTAACCATAATTTTTAAATCCTCTATCCTCCCATACAACTTCTACTTTGACATGAGTCTTTTTCTATCCCCTTGTTCTTTGTATACTACTGAGAAGTATCGTAACTTCAACCGATGCACTAGTATGCGAGATTCTACGTTAATTTTGTCTCTCTATTTGTTTATTGAGTTGACTCCCTACCAAATAAGTCATGAACTAGGATTCAGTTTCCTTCCAGTCACAGAGTGTTTTGTACAACTGCCAAGTTGATGAGAAATACACGGCTATCTTTTCCTTTAATGACTACCTATAGTCAGTTCGTCTCAGCTAAATCCAAAGTGAATTGTTCAGGAGACATGGAAGACAAGTAACTGCTTGATTGCTAATTAGTTCAGTTGATAAAATATTTCAAGATAATTGGTTGGTTCTAAACTTGTAGAGACTCAAGTTTCCTATCAACTTCAATCATCATCGTTGTAAGTGCACGGACATAAGTCGACAAAATAACTCAACCTTACATGGTCTAAATAGAAGCATATTTATAGGTAGCTAACAAATTTTAGTTTGATTTTGTGTTATATTCTTCGCTAGAGAAAAACAACTGTAAAAACGAAGAAACTGACATGCATGAGCAGCTAATAATTCATGCGGTGTCAAGGTACAACTTGAACCATCCTCTAACTGTAAATTTTGGGATTTAGGAAGGTTGATACCATACATTATCTCCAAAATATCACGTGGAATTCTTTCACAGACCTAAAATCAGAAGAAATTGTTGAATTAGTGAAAGACAGATTCTCAACACGAAAAGGAATTTAAAAACAACAGGATGCGTGAACATGCTTCCATTGAATTCCGTACATTTAATTCTGTCTGAACGCATGCCTATCCCATACAGCCTCGGTCGGTATCTCAGCAGAATCCGAATGGGTAACTTCAAAGTAACCATCCCATACTCTAACAGCGAGAACCAAAAGTTAAATTACAATATGCTTGGCAGAAACCCATTTACTAGACCACTTAGTTGGGAATCTGCAAGCAACATGTTCAAGTTCTATGCCAATCTAAATTACGAATAACTATCAGAACACCGATTTATCTTGAATCATAGTGATAAGCACAGTCCAAACAGCTAAGATCTAGATGAGAAACAGATATTCAGTTCCTAACCAATTCTTGATGAACACTAGAATTATGAAACCTCAACACAAGAGAGGTGTACCTCAAATTAGTTGACAGCTGAATTAACAGTGTAGCAGAACAATCGATCACTTTTTAAGTATTATTAAAATTCTGTGCCTAAAGTCAAATGAAGTAATTTTCAACGCTTGCAATTAATGTTACTGTAGCTGTTCCCTACAACACTACGCATACAGATTCCAGTAACATAGTACAAGAAACAAAACAACTCAACTATTCGCTGTACCCCCCTGCCCCCCCCACACACACACACCCTACGAACAGTCAAAAGCAAACTGGGATCCAACCTATGAAGTCATATACCACTTCGGAATATGTAAGGAACTGAACGCATGCTAACCTTAATCGGTGAAATAACAAAATTAACTATTTGGAAAACATAGACGACACAGCTTAATTGTATTGGCGCTGAAGCAACAGTTTATACTTCTCTTTTCGTTGTATTTTAATACACGATCGGGTCACAGAATACAGCGGCATGTAATGGTATTCTAACCCTGTACATGCTTATGTACTGGGCTATCAGTCGAACTAGTTATATGAGGGTTCATATTATTATCCGGTTGCCATCGCTGAAGTAGTTAGGTCAGGATTCGAAGCTGGAACTCATTGGTTGAAGGTCAAGTGATCAATTCAATAAACCGAGTAGTCACTATAGCATAATCAAAAACTGAACGACTAATAATAAAACAAACCTTATAAAACTGATTTGGAATATTTCTAACGATCCCCTGATCCAGACGCTATATCAGAACACCAGAGAAGAAGGAACCAGAACAAGTTTGATGGCCACTACTCTGATGATTCCAGCCAAAAACGAGTGAGTAACTATGAAATTTCTTGTAGTAAACTTGAGAAATTACCTCCAGCGACATGAGTTTTAAGAAGTAAAAGTGAACAAATATGCACGCTTCGAAACGATAACTTGAACCGATCTAAGCACTAATGACACTAGATCGATTTTCTAAAATTCATTTGTATTTCTCAACAAGTAACAAGTCGCCGCTATCAACTCTCTTCCGCTGTTTCCCAGTATGGTGATTTGAATCACCACGCGCTATGCTAAGTAAGGTTCTGTGTTGTTACCATCATTCAACTGCTTTTACTCTCATCAATATGTTTCCTTCCGGGGGAAAAACACTGGAAAATGACTTCAAGGAAGAAATAACCTTCTGCACAAGCAGAACACCTCCCTATCATATTAGTACTAGAGGATATTGAATCAATATGAAATACACTATATGAGCATAATTTAGTCCACATACAGCTTCCACTGACAATAAAAACATGACTACAAACAGCATGAAGTGCGATAGCTGCTACCTTGAAGTGGCCATCGGGCTTGCATATCACAATGACCCAACGACCTATGCTGGTGGAACACTTGTTCCCTCAAGGTCCAACCGTACCAGAAAGGTCTGTTGGATAGTGGTTACACGAAAAGCAGTTACCGTTGTGGGGCAAATTACTACACTATGATGGGGATCTGACGAAGAAGTCGCACTGCTGTTAGCTGGATGGGGTGTGACAGCAGTAAGGTGTTCCCCTTGGATGACCAGCAATGCCATACTGATGCTGACTTTTCAGTGGAAGGGGTGTTAAAAAGGTCGGTGCAGAAAATAACACTCCACCATACCCCATGGCCTGCCGGGCCGGCGGTGTTGGTTCATTTGGTTCATTCACCCTTCGAATTTCCGGAGATTCGTCAGCTAACTCTCCCGGTCTTGCAGGTGTAGGCTAGCATTAAGCACTAGGGCAGAAAACTCGCTACTAGATTGGATCCCAGTTGAAAGTCACCTCTGCGCTATCCGATTGGACGGCATAGTGAGAACTAAAAAGAATAGTAAGACTCACCGTTGTCTCTTTGTAATCTATGCTTACGCAGTACGGATGAAGTGAAGGATGAGTTCCACCGAAAACTGTCTAGCAGGTGATTTCAATGCACAGGTGGGTAAAATGAGTGGGGCAGAAAGACACTTAGGTGGCACTTTCGGAGTCCCAGCTGAACGTACAGATAACGGTGATAGTCCACTACAACTGTGCTCAGGTAACCGCCTATTTTCAGCTAGCACAAATTCCAGACACAAAGAAAGACACTGTCTGACCTGGCGTCCACCAGGCTCAACTTAGCGATGGACACAGACCACATTGCTATTCGTCATCGCTGGAGAGAATCGGTGGAAGACTGCCGCTCCTTCTGGAGTACATGCTTAGATAGCGACCACGCGTTGGTCCGAGCGTGTGTACGCCTGAGTCTCAATGGATGTAGGATAAATTTGGCAACAAAACCATCGCGAGTGCAGCTAGACAACGAAAACACCAAAACCGTGTTCAGTGAGAAGTTGCCCAGGCAATTATCGGGACAGAAGACTATCACTCATCTAGAAGAAGCTTGGTGCCATCTCCAGTCTGCTGTAAAAGCAGCACTGAAGAGCGTAGCCGACTCCGAAACAATGGCTAAAAAGAGCCAGTGGACATCAACAGCTTCTTTCGAACTAATGAATGCACGTCAACGCATCCCTGCACGCCCCGTATACAGTGAAGAGCGGGCACAACTTAAAAATAGACTGAGAAAAAGCCTACTCAACTACCGCAAAGTGGTGGGCAGCGAAGACTAAAGAGATGGAAAAGGCAGTGGCGATTGGTAATAGTAGACAGTTATTTACACTCATCAAGGAGACTGGGAGAAAAAGGTCAACAACAGTTAGTGAGGCTATAGCAGAGAAGGATGAATCTGTGATTCACGCGCAGAGAAGACGACTTGAACGGTGAGTAGAACACTTCGAGGAACAGTTTAACTGGCCTCTAGCCACTACTGCGTTGCCCGCTATCCAGTCGTATCCTGTATGGAACATTGAGATAAGACCTCCCCCCCCCCCAACACTTTCAGAAGTCGAGAAATCGGTAGGTAACTTGCCAAGAGGAAGGGCAGCAGGACCAGACGCACTAACTCCTGAGGTATACAAGGAAGATGATAGAGCGCTTTTAGTCAGGTTAACATAAGTATCAACTAGTATACGATCCCCTCTGACTGGTCTAAATCATTGATTATCCCAGTCTTCAAGAAAGGCGAGAAGTCCTCTTGTGATAACCACAGAGGAATCAGCCTGACGAACATAGTGTCTAAGATCCTAGGTTCTATAATTCTCCGACGCCTGAGTGGAGCTCGAGAACAACAAGCCTGAGAAAATCAGGCAGGCTTTAGACCCGGCCGCGAGCGCATCGATCAAATATTCTCACTGCGCCAGGTTTTGGAACACGAACACGCTTACCAACGCCCGACAATAGCTGTATTTCTCGACCTGAAAGCGGCATTCGACTCCGTTGGTCGAGGACTCTTATGGCAATGTCCCTCACTGAAAGCCGTGCCGAGTAAGTACATCACCTTATTGAAGGCTCTCTATTCGAACAATTGTGGGCGTATGAGAGCCTGTGGCGAGATAGCCGGGAAGGTGTGCTTATCGAGTGGTGTCCGTCAAGGCTGCCCACTATCTCCATTCCTATTCAATCTTATCATAGATATTCTCATGGAGATCTCCCTCTCGTCACCTGATTACACAGACGTTGACCTAATTACAGGAGAATTTTCGTTAGACCTAGAATACGTTGACATAGTCCTGTTAGGTGAAGACGCTGACAACATGCAGAGTCTTCTGGACACTTTGAGTGGCAAGTTGAGAATGTTTGGGATGCGTTTCTCATCACCCAAATGCAAATTGTTGATCCAGGATTGAGTGGTCTACAACGGAGATCCACCACGGCTAACAATAGAGAGTGTAGTGGTTGAGTGTATCGACTACTTCACTTACCTGGGAAGTGGGATCAGTCCTACCCTGGTGGCTCAGTGGCCGATGAAATCTATACACGGATACAAAAGGCTCGATTGGCTTTCACCAACTTACGCCACCTGTGGCGCCACCGTGATATCTGATTGTTTGTTAAGCATCGCGTGTACTGCACCTCTACAGCACTCCACTCTATTCTACTGTATGGCTGTGAAACATGGCCATTGAAGGTAGAAGACATGAGAAGGCTTCAGGTATCCGACCACCACTGCCTTCGTAGTATAGGCCGCCGTATTCCGTGGTGTCACCACGTGAGTAACCCACAAGTCAGGAGTAGAGTTTTACGGAAAAGAGGTAAGTCAGTTGACGAGGTTATGAACCTTCATCGACTGAGACGGTTGGGACACGTATTACCTATGCCTAGTTGCCGATTGCCTCGCCACACAATTTTGACCAAAGGCTGGAAAAAGGCCCGAAGCGATCAGACCAAAACATGGCACCAATGTATGAAGTCTTTGACTTTTGGTTCAAGCAATGTGGGGCGATGCAGACCAGGTGGTCGGGGTTCACGGGACTAGAGAAACCAGTGGTTGGAGATTCTAGGTGACATGGCTGAGAACCGATGTCACTGGCGCAGATGTAAACACACATTATCCTCATCTTAACGACGCTATACTGAATCTCACCATTTTCTCATCCTTCCTTTCTCTCTTTTTCTACTTTACATTTTTTCTGACTGAATCTTCTTATCTTCATCTTGCGCCTCACTGCCTTCTTACTTGATGTACTGATATGAGCTGTGGCAACTCAGACCGTTATGCAGTAATGCCTGGTCCTATGTTGATTTGGATGGATGGATGGATGAAATGCGCATTAGACCATGATCGACAAGCTTATTATGAATAGTATGATAGCTTAGACGGAGAAATGAAAGTATCAACCACACGACATAATGCTTAAACGCAAAAAAACTTGAAAAAGCTTTTAACTTACTAGCCCAATGGGCGCCAAATAATCACGCATCTCATCTATGGATAAGATACCCGCCACAATTAAATCTGCTTTAGAATAGGCAAAAGAAGGCATCACCAATCCTGGACAATCACAGAGCATTAAGTCTGATCGAACATATATCGTCTAAAAGTCAAAATAAATTTTTTTGAAGAAGATACTGCTGATATCCAAATGCTCAAAAAACAAGGTGTCATATTTCCGTAAAGTATAGTCTTTTCCTGTCAGAGATTTTAGAATCGTAGTAATATCTAATTTTAATGAGCTGCCAACAAAAGGCAGTGTATGCATAGACAGGTTTAAAAGTTAATTTGTAACGAACCCAGCTTCACTCAAAGGCTATAAAATTTTATCTCAGCATTTCAGTCTTAGTGACATTTAAGTTAGATGAAAGACGGAAACTAATATACATTTCGAATTATTTATTCCAAATATCTGATATATATTCAAAACGGAGATATTTACTGGCGACATAAAATAAATTTTCTTATAGTCAATACACTTTGATCTATTCTAGTGTCATTCTCTATCTATCAGTTGTCTTTGCAAACTGCTGTGAATTGTGGTAAATTGAACTGATGCGCTAACTGTACTCCAGGTTCTACATTGGTCTGTTGCTTTCCCTGTCTGCCTTAAGGAGGAAACTATAGTTAATGAGGGAAGTGAAAGATCTATGGTTGCCTGGAGATTGCCTTCAGTCATCCGATGTCAAAACATGATTTGTGATGGCGACATGATTAACTTAGTGTCTCCATTGCCAACCAACGGATTTCCATCAGCAATGATGACTATAAGACATAAAATTGATTACTATAACTGGCGAACCATTGATAGAGTATGTTTTAAATTATAGATTGTACGAAATTTGATTAATGGTCTTATTAGCCACTTACCCTTGACTGAGGACAAATCATAAGTGACCTACCTGAAAATGTTTGGTTTTGCCGGGTGTTACTGACACCGAAACTTTCTTGTGACCTAATATTGCGTTAAGTGTACTGGATTTTCCAACATTCGGATAACCGATAAAGCCAATTGTTAAGGCATGTCTCGACTGATCACTTGGTGGACTAAACTTCCGCGTTAGCAAATCCAATAACTCTTCGACCCCCAGAATGTCTGAGTTAACTTCGTCACTATGTATATTTAATTAGTAGAAAAATAAAGGTAAAAATCTGAATGAAAAAGTCCTACATAATTAATACAACATTGAATCTACAAAATGACTTTTTTTAACTAGATGAAGTTACTAAAATGCTTGTAGAACCATGCAGAGCGATATTTCAATACTTTTTTTACGGGTGTAACATTCTCTCAGAGTGATTGACTATATTACTTGCAAGTGACTATTTTCGAACAGTTTCCTAATTTGCTCTGCAGTTATTTTATTGGTTGAAGCTGTGGGTGGTATTCTGGTATGTTGGATTGTTACTTTTACTCTTTGCTAAGTGTAGCTTACGTGTTGTTTGCTGTTACTTCACCTCTGATGTCAGTGTCAAAATCTATATTAGTCATTACTCAATTAAAATCACTAATTACTGTTGCGAGAAGATGAGACAGTCTTTTGGCATAAAATGATTCGCTTGTATGCCCATCTAGGTAAAACTGAGACAGGGTTAGAGATGAGGATAAATACAAAGTCTGGTCAAAAAAGAACCAGAGGTTAGTGAAGTGAAATTTGTTAGTCATGCCAGAAGATTTAACTGCTAGTCACATCCAAACTTCCGTTCAATGACTAATTATTGCAGTAAGTTGTTATCTGAATGGAAAATACTCACCGGTTCCCATATTAGAATACTATCTATTGAAGTAAAAGTCTTAACTCAGTTGGTTCAGCATTGGACTAGTAATGTAGAAACTAGTCCAAGTGTACCTGCAATCAAGGTTTTCAGTCATTTCTCTATACTACCACAGTCTGCCAATTAAAGCGCATCAGGCTGGCAAGCCATCAATGAGTTACTAAGATATTTTTTTATTTGATAAAGCACATAACGAAATGGTATTGTTTACTCGACGACGATTTGAGCATAAATTATTGCTTATAATCATATAAAAGTGGGTTGATTTTAATTTAATCAGTTTAATTTAATTAATTTCCAGAACTGCTTTTCAAACAAGAATAATTTGGAATAAACACTACTGAAGAGTCGAAAAGAAACAGAATTACATGAAGAGAAAAAAGTATGTAAAAAGGGGACCTAACGTCAATTCGTAAGAAGTCATCGGTTGTGTGGTAACCGTCATCCTTACCTGTGATGTAGGGGGGTTTGTTATAAAGTCACTATTACAAGTTGCATCTTTTGTACACAATAGCATTATTTCGATAATATACGATAACAAGTCAGTGACTAATCTATCTATCTTCATCATCAGTTAGTCAGTATCAACATAAGACTTTCCATTACTGCATAACGATCCAAGTTGTTACATCTCGGATTTTGACCGCTGTCCAACTTTGTGGAAAAAACTCCAGTGAAACCGATGAATAATTTTTTTCAGGTAAACGTATCCACTCGACCATTCAGTATTAATTCGCTTTGACAACAACAATCATACTACTAAACCTTAGTCAACCAATAACCATCATATAACAATAATGGTGGTGATACGATGCGGCTAGTATGCAACCTGCTAGTCAACATCAAAATAGGAATTGGTATTACTCTGTGGTTGTCTAAGCTGCCACACCCAATATCATTATGTCAAAATACAAGAAAAACAATGATAAATGCGAGTAAAATAACCAAAAGTAGTCGATAGCCATAGGATGAAAATTCGACGATAAAATGTGATCAAAGGATAAAGACGAAGACAAGGTTTGAATAAAACTGAAACACTGTGGTCCATTGCATCTGCTATTTTACTTGAAATTCAAAACTGACACGACATAGATGAAAAAAGTAAACCGCATCGAAACATGGTCACAGAGTGAACATATAGGAAGAGGGAAAACAAAGAATGGTGAAAATGATATGAAGAAAAGACTAGTCTGAAAAGCTTTTGACTCATTCAGCTTAAAAATGTTCAGACAGAAGACACAAGCAAACTACGACACACTCCTAACCCCTTTTAGTTCTGATCTAACAAAGTCTTTCGAACCTACTCAAGATAATATATATTTACTAGTTCGCTGACGGTAAAATGATTGACTCTCAGCTCCTTTAAAACAATCCCAAAGTCCAGAACTAACACCTAATACGAAAAGTGTTAGTACGGTCTACATAATATGTGTAAGTCACTGAATTAAATATCGCATAAGGAGCATCTACATCTACCATTTCTTTGAAAAGCACCGTTGAACTCACCCATAGAAAGCCTTGGATACGATAGTAAAGTGTGTTAGAACTGAAATCGGCTTAATATCGAAACGGATGTATGACCAATTACCTTTTTAATATAGCAATAAGACAATAAGCTTTTAATAAAACATTAACAAGGTTTTCAACCGTATGCTTCTTACAGATCAGGCAAAGACATAATTATTAGGACCAACAATTGGCCAAAGTCTACAGCGAGGGCTTCAAGAGGAGCCGTTACTGTCCACTGATCCCCGACTAAAAATTAATCTCAGCTAATGTAACCTAAAGTTGGCAGCCACATAGTCAGAAGTATAGCTCCATTCTGAATACTAGGTGCTGGCTAGACATAGAGATTATCAGTGAAACTGAAACAGATAATAACAGTTATCACTTGGTTAGCGCACAATGCTAAAAAGAACAGTTCGTCTTACTGATTGCCTCAATCTTGTTGCCGATTCACCGGAATCAGTGACTACTGTATCCATATGTTTAGACTTCTGGAGAATTTCTGATGAATTATGGTAAAATGCACACTTCATTCGCATTATACAAATTACAATCAATAGATAAGCAAATCGAAAGTACAAACATAGATCAAAACTCTGAAATATAGTTGCACTTCTGATATTTGACCGAACCATTTGATCAAACAATAAACACAGGACCACTTATCATTGGGCTTCCTAGCTCCAAGTCTAACAAACACTACCTATCGTATTCATAAATAGTCACACAGTGAATCGCAATCAGTCAACAAATTTGTCGCATAAATTTAAGAAAGCAATAACACTCGGATCTAGTACGCGATGAGGTAGTACCTGTATAACCTAAGGAGCCAAGATTTCTGGTACAGAGACCAAATGATCAATTTGATGTAAGATTTGCATATTGAAGGCATATAGAAAATCAAAAGTGCTATTATGTAGGCCCAAGTCATCAGAACAAGTAACAGATGTAGAAACTAAGAAAACAGAGGAAATGCGTGCTAACAATAGTAACAAATAATACAGATAGAATGAGTAAATCATCAAGTGGTTCCACTACGATGAAAGAAGTGTGGGGGAAAAGATATTAGCTAATTAGCCACACCATGGGAAATGATGTTTTTTCGAAGTGCTTGAAACCGAAAATTGGTTTGTGATGATGTGTGACCAAATAACTTGCGTAATGTTTGCCTTAAACCGATCAAATACATCATTTTCACAAACTGACTACCACAAACCGAGGTGATAGCATGTCACTAGAAATACCTAAGATTAACGAAAGTCTCATTTTTTGATGTCAGAGCAATTTTCTCGGTAGGACGAGAATTCCATCTAACAAAATTCAGCTCCATTTAATATTGACAAGGCCTAGGTAAAACCTGACAGGGGAAATAAACAGTAGAGTAGTAAGTGTTATATTACACATAGTACAACCCAAACTGGTACAAGTTTATGTACCAGACTGTGAGTCACACTTGTATGTGAGCATACGCGACTATCCAGTGGTCTAGGCCGAAGTAGATGGAGCCGGGTTGGAATTCGGGACCCAAAGCTTGTAAACCAAGTTTCTAAGTTACATCCCCACTGATATATTACATAGCTAATAATGACTATACTTTGATACTACAATAGCCAACTTACTGAGTTTTGGCACACGCCTCAACATTAGCATCTGAATCTGTAGAACTCGATACAACTTCCGGAATGGGTTGGGTGAATGCTTCTGCATCAGTTACACTACTGAAAACGTTACATTCGTTACAATCTAGTTTAGTAGATGGCTGTGAAGAGTAGTCAATAGCACCAACATTCTGTTTCTTGATCTCTCCAGACAACGTAACCGTACTAGCGTCACTATCAGCGTCTGATTCTGCCGAATCCTCTACAGAATTGCCAAAAGAATTTTGACAGTTTTCATCAGATATTTTCTCTGATTCACAACTAAGATTAGGAGCACCAGTACAATTTCTTTCCAGTATCTGTTCACTAGCTAGAGCAGCTGACCAAAATATAGCGTTAATGCCAGAAGTTTTGAAATATTGTGCCCAAGCAAATCTGAGGTAAAATTAGATATACATATGAAAGTAACGAGTTTCAATTTCAGAAAAATAAGTAGGTTTAAACTAAAATTTACATACTTTAGTAGCCTAAGAAAAATAAGTGAAAAGAATGAATATAAAACGTACATGAATGACGTCACACACGTGACCCACGGTCGCACAATAATGTAGCTACCAGGCGATCATACGATACTGGTCATAGGTCAGGTACAAAGCCATATGACTCAGTCAGTCGGCATTGAAATAGAACCTAACAATACTGCGTAATGGTCCAAGGAGCCGTATGAATACAGGAGACACTGTCATTGTTTCGGATATCTCTAATATAATGAGTCTCAGAGGGAAAAGTTGTGCGTCTAACTGTGTCTCCACACCGGATAACTCCTATTCACAGTAACACTTTTTTGTCGATATTAGGAATTCGAAAAATGGTTGATCAGAAATTTGAATACTCTCATTTGCTTCATAACGTAGTTTTGGCTTATAGGCTTAGTGAAAATCACAATCCATCTGCTGAATTCAAGTAATCATATTTTATTTGAAACTTGTACACCAACATTACCACTCGATATGTAGCTGGTTAGTTGTATTCTTGTTCTACATAGCTCCACTGCACTTGTATGGTTTCTTTCAATGAAGAAATTTCAGCAATCCTCCCCAGATACGTCCAGTGGATTACAAGTCACACCTAAAGTATGGTACACTAAAGGATACTAGTGTGAGAGTAGCCCTTTAATTCATGATCCTCTTAAAATCTGATCACGCCTACAAGTGGAACGAAAACAGGACTTTAAACTATGCTGCTTTTGTTCAAAATGTTGCACATCACTTTCTCCAGTCAACATGTACAATATGATAGCAGGCATTCTTTCAAACACTACCGTCAGGATTTTCAGCGTATAACTCGATATGTTCAAAAATAAGTAATGAACACAATAAAGAGTGAGAGAATGCAACTTGTCATCTGAAAAAACTTAGTTGGCCCCTGATCGAAATCTTTCTTTAATCCTCAGGAAGTAACTGCTGTTTCGTACTGATTGGGCGTTTTCTAAAACTTTATTACGTCCAGTTCACCCTGGAACTTATTCACTGGGTAAATTGATGTCGGTTATGACGCACAGAACACTGTTCGAAGTTATTGCTTCACAAGACCAACTGTTTTTCGAAGTATTGTCCCGAGAGTCCTGGGTATCAATACGGAATGTTGATAAGTGCATAGCGTACCATACAGAAAAGACTAACTGTATCAAAACGCTATGAAATTGGACCATACCGTTTTGATTTCATAGTTGAAAAAGCTTACTTCTTCCAAGCTACCACATGATTGAGGCTAAGAGAGATGGAAGAACAGTAACAAAACTTATTCGCTGCCAGGGGAATTAAAAAAACCAACCAAAGTCACATGATATTTTCGAACACAAGTGAAAGCATTGCTTTCAGTTATTCAAATAATCCGATGGTTATAATATTGATTTGTCAAGCTGATAATGCCTTTGATTAACCTAGATGTGAGCAAACGGACTTTTTCAAACACTGTGTGACTTACGTAAATACAAAGTATGTCTAGTGTCAAAACGATACTTTTCATGTAGATTATCTAGGATTCCCAACGCCTCTTCATTTGGTGATTTTCACACACACACAAACTTTAATTAGTTTTACTCTTCGCCGCCAAATCAGCACTCTTTTTCTGCCAAAAAAGCGAACCATCCAAAATAACAATTGACAAAAAGTTGTTTGGGAAATAAATTTGGAAACCTTTTAACTGAAAAAACCTATACCTGATAATTATTTCAGATTTCTGAACAATTAGTTTGCAAGCATTTTCAAGACTGGGAGATTCGGAGATGAAACTAAACAGACACGAGTTTTAACATCTACGCCAGATGAATATCCAAATGACGTTAAGTAACATGTGGTGTTTTTAGACATCCATGTATTCAAACTAGTCAATAAAAATAAGGGACCTGACACTACTGCTTGATTGTCCCAGTTGATACAACTCATGAAGTAGTAGAAAGTCATAAAATTCTATATGATGACTGCAAGAAAGATAATGTGTAGATGCATCCGTACCACAGGTCGATTATAAGCTATACCACCTAGAGTCTTCAACCACCGATTTTCGTTGTCACGTGGACTATAATCTGCAATTTTGCCTTGATGCAAACGGTTCAGAACAGTCAGAGATTTAATGAAGAGATACTACGTTTTAATGTGGCCACCTCTAACCTTTTTCCAGTTTAAACCTACTTCAGCTAATATTGTGCGATAAAGTAGATGTTTACTGCACATGAGTAACATGCTCCAGCTATATGAGCCAATGAAGGCTCACAACCTCATCAAAAAACTTACCTCTATAACCCAAAACTGCATATCTGATCTCAGCGTTACTGATGTATCCCAGTATCTCAGGGGCCTATGTGTAAAATCCTAAGTAAGTTCTTCGAATAAATTCCTAATCCGTCAGCTCAAAAAGGTATTCACAAGGCACCCATCCAGTGACCTTGTGGTGTCAGCGAACGACCTTGGTGGTCTTGGTGTCACACTAAGTGTGCCAAAGCTGAATTAGTCGACTGGATTTTCATCAACAATCGTCAATGTGCTGCTAGGCTGGAAGGTTCGATTGGAGTGAGAAGTAACTGGCAAGCGGAACGCTATCTCTTCGTCTCTATCCACATGCCCCAACTGACTATAGTCCCGATGCAGTGAAGGATGAGTTCTGCCGTCGACACCAAAATACAGAGCACTCCAGTGTCGTCACTCCGCTCAGTGGTCACACTGCAAAACTGATTCGATCAGTGGTGAGTATTGAATAAAAAATAACTAAATCAGTTACCTACTGGTGACGAATTAGTGTACATAAACCAGTTTTAAAGGCGGTAAGCTGTAGTCTGAATAGCCTAGTGGTTACGTCTCTAACTTTATCACTAAGTGATGCCAGTTCCAATCACCGAGAGAACATGGTTGCAGATAAACCTTGATGATGAGTGCAAACAGGCATGAAACCAAGGTACGGGGCTTGTTTCAGACTGACTCCCGTCATCTGAGTGACCTTCTCTTTCATGTGCACTTGACAGATAATGTAGTGCTAGCTGGAGAATCACGCTTTAGTGTGTGCCAAGTTCATCTTGCGTTTTTTCGGCCATCAAAATCATCGTCCAAAGTGGGTCAATGCAAACGAACTGGATGCACCTAGTGTTGCAATATATATATATATATATATATATATATATATATATATATATATATATATATATATATATATATATATATATATATCAAACGGAGCTATATTCGAGCCAAGCTGTTTAATCATCAGAAAGTATAGGTGAGCATTGGCTGCATCAACAAGACGTCATGGAAACGAGGAGCTAGACTGCTTGCGGTCTTGAAGAGAGTCTTACCAATAAACACTGGGTTTCTGGAAGCTCCTCACAACTTCTTGACCCTGACCGGTATATCCCGAAAGGTACTGAGTACAATGGTGTGCCCCTACGTCCCCTACGTAGTAGATAACAAAGGTTTTGCGTAAAGAGCACGAGACCAGGTGGTGACAACGTTCGAGTGAAGTGGAAATGGAAGCTGCATCTGGCAACATTTAGAAGCCGTTTCAGTTCATTCGAGTCACCAGCAGCAGTAAGCCTGGAATCATTGAGACCGTTTGTGAATAAGATGGTACAGTCATCATTAACTTTCATAGAAACCTAGAATGATGGGTGCAGCACTTCATAAAGCAGTTCAATTGATCTAGTACTCCAAAAACATCAATCTGAATGTCTTGTGCTCCACGCTGGCTTAATAGCGATCGACCTAACGAAGCGGATGTACGTAGGGCGATTCAAGTTCTAGAGAGTCATAAAGCAGTCGACCTAAACAACCTAATCCCGGCTCCTTTTACGGGTAGGGTTGGGATTGTAGTTAAGGAGCTAATTACATTTTTTGGGAAGGTATGGCAGGTTGAGTGTTCCATTACTCTGGAACCAAGTCATTGTTGTACCCATCAAAGTATCAAACTGCCACCAGTGGCGTCTAAAGTGTTGGCTGTTATCATACTTCATATGCCAGGAAAAAAACGTGTGAAAAACTGATTCACAAGGAGTGGGTCAAATTTCCCTCAATACTTGCGTGCAGTGATCACGTGTCTACTCTCAACTGGAGGTCCGAATACCACTACACATACTGCAGATCAACAATCGTTGTATTACTCAAAATTGTGGCTGCCTTCGATTCGCTGGACGAGGCTGTGCTCTGGAACTGTCTGCCAAAGAGGTGTTTCTAGGAAGTTTGTTAACATCTTGAAAGTCATTTACTTCAAAACCTTAGTTAGAGCGAAGGTATACCGCTAAATAATTCCAATATTCCAAACCATTAGCTGGATGAAGCAGGACTACCCGACTTCGCCACTGCTCTTTAACTTTGTCATCAATAACATATTAGCTGATGTGAAATGTAGCAACTTGAACCGGCATACTTCTGTGTAAATTTCTAATTTGGTTTTGTCTATCTGTTGGGTGGGAAATGCAGACGGGTTCACGCCGATGAGGGTGCTGCTAGCACTATATCACACTTTGACACGAGTTAGAACAAGTAAACCATTGAAATCCGACCCACTGACTGAATGGCAATGAGCTCGCTAGGAAAACTGACAGTAATGTGTTCAAGCCCCATCTAAAACCAATCGATGATGAAAACCCACTTGAAAAGTAATGATATTCATTCGGTTGAAATTAGTAACTAATCAACAGCAGTTAATGTAACATCTTATTTCTAATATTGAATTCAACTATACAAATGAAATTTGTTAGCAGGTATACTTTTACCACCTAATCTTAGCTCAAAAGGTTAAATTACGTTCTAATATTCGAAACCAAGGCCTCCCATGTTAGTATCGAACATAAAGTTAACATAAATACATTAATACTTTTACCCTTATTATTGCTACTTTAAAAACATACCGTTGTTGGCCCGTAAGAAAATCAGACTTATTAACAAGAACCACAGAAGTTTTGCTGGGATCCACTTCATGGATATACGTTTCCAAATCTTCACAATAATATAAAAGTGGTTGGCGGGCATCGACCACCTGTACAACTATGTCACTGCGTTCTACGACTCGCCACAATTGACGCCAAAATTCTAAATTCCGTTCAAAAGGGGTAAGAACTATGCCATCTTTCTCTTCTAGCCTACAAAATAAAAGTAGTTAGCGCTTTTTGACATTCGGGATTGATCGGACTTTTTATAGTCAAGGAAAAGTAACAAAATTATTTTTAGCACATACTAATCCATGTCTACAAATAGAAAACCAGGCCAGTTGGCAGCTAATATAAGCAAATAAGGGCATAAAATAAACTAAAACCATTCAATACTAGAGAAATTTATTTCCAAGTGAGTGGAATCAAAATAAATTTCCTTGCTGTAGTTTTACTATTGAGTACCAACAGGTCAACCGATATCATACAGGATAGGATAATACAATATCAGGACTTTTTTGTGGTAACTTCCAGAATCCAGCCCAGGTCCAGCGCATCTATTAGTATCTCCAGGATGATGCGGCTTAATATTTTACTTGGAGTGACAGGGACAGGAGCACGATTCCTCGCCAGTTCTTGCAAAGACTTAGGTCTCCCTTCTTTGGAAGTTTGACAAGGTAACCCTTCTTCCAATCAACCTGCAGGTACTTTTCCTTCCTTCCAAACCTTCTGCAAAAGTGGTGTGAGCATGTTCGCTGTCGTCTCTGTGCCTGTTTTGAGTGCTTCTGGTGGAACAACATCTGGTCCTGCTGCTTTCCCGACTCTCAGCAGTTTTATGGCATTCAGGACTTCTGCTGTTGTCGGAGGGACTGTGTTCACTAATAGTTCTGTGACTCCTGGTGGTATTTCTGGACGAGTTGCAGGTGGTGGTGGTCGATTCAAGAGCTTTTTGAAGTGGTCAGCCCATCGTTTCCTTTGTTTCTTCCCCTTGGCAACTAAATTTCCCTCACCATCTTCCATTGGTTTCGTCTGCGTTGATCTCTTCCCGGATAGTAACCTGGTCACTTGACATAATGTTGTCAGGTCTCTGTCTCTCCTACCTGCAGCCTGTTTCGCTCCACTTGCCAATGTGTCGTAGAAGTGTCTTTTCTCTTTGCGCGCACTCTTCTTCACTTCTTTGTCCAGTGTAGTGTTTTATACGTTGTACTCAGTGCTTCTTTCCGTTGTGCATCCTTGCACTGGTTCAACTTCTGCCCACCATCTTCCTCTCGTCTATCAGCTTCCATGTGTTCGTCGAGATCCATTCCTTGTCTTGTTTCCTCTTCCCTCCTAGTACGGTTATGCAGGTTTCTTTCCACATCTCTTTCAAAGAGTTCCAGTGTTCTCCCGTGCAGGTTTTCTCAGTAATGTTGCTCAATGTCTCCCATCTTTTCCTGATGGCTGATGTGAAGATGTCCTTTGTAGTTTCGTCCTTCAGTTTCCGTTCTGGGTGTTGAACATGAACTGTGGTCTATCACCAGCTTTTTTGAAGGCTTTCAATTTGACTTTGAAAGTTCCTTGCACTAGACAGTGAGTGGTCTGAACCTACATATGCTCCCCTTCTTCATCTTGTGTCCAGTAGGCTGCGTCTCCACTTTCTTCACATTGAAATGGAGTCAATCCGGTTTTTAGTGTGTCCATCTGGTGAAATCAAATCAATGTCCCTGCCTTGTGAATATCCTTTTGTTTGTACATACTACCTCCAATCACTCAATCGTTGAATGCACAGAAATCTGCAAACAGTTTTCCATTCTCATTCATTTCACCGAGTGACTCTCGGTCCCTGATCAATTCTCTTTCTGTGCTGTCAAGCCCTCAGTTTGGCATTCATGTTACCCCACCCATTAGAATTTCGATGTCGCCAACTGGAGTCATTGTCCAGTACTGATTGCAGTTGTCTGCAGAATTCCTCCTTCTTCTCTTCATCTCCATTATTTGTTGGCGCGTAGCACTGAATGACTGTGACTTTCCGTCCTTTTGAGTTGAATCTTGCTGTCATGATCCTAGAGGAGACTGGTTCCCACTGCATGAGAGCCTTCGATGTTCGTGGGGAAATTATGATAGTCACTCCCTCTGTGTGCTCGTGGTTTTCGTTTGGGTGACAATATCGGAGTAGATTATTGACTCTTCAGTTGACGGCTCAGAGTCCACTTCCATTCCATCTGTTATCGCAGATTCCTAGCACCTCTGTACTATATCTTCTCATTTCTTTTACAATCTGAGCAGCCTTGCCAGCCAGCTTCAAACACGGTTCGGACATTCGATTTCCCCATTCTTACCCTCGCTTTCATTGAGAGAAGAGAAGACATATTGGCCAACTGGCTTCCCTAAGGCTTTCACCAACCAGCGTCATTTCTTCCCTCCGATTCCAGCGAGGAATAGGTTTGTTTTTATTTTTTATAATTTCTTTGTGCTTTGAAGTTTCTTTAGGGATTGGATTGGTTTTACGGGGTAGGGTTGCTAGCCCTATGACCAACTTTCCCTCTTTATCCGGGCTTAAGACCGGCTAGTAACTAGCGAACTAGTTAACCAGGAGATCAAATTGCAACACTACGCTACGCATCGTCATAGAACAGAGTATAGAATGCCAGTCAACTCTCTACCTCAACTTTATCGACTTTGAAAAGGCCTTCGACAGCGTCGACAGAGAAGTATTTTGGTAGTTGCTTCAACACTACGGAGTGCCACTAGTCTTTATCAACCTCATTCAACAGCTATATGAAAAGGCCACGTACCAAGTGATCCACAATGGGAAGCTCAGTGACGCCTTTGAAGTAAAGACGAGGCTGCCACCTACTATAACCCATGATCTTCTTGATAGTGGTGGACTGGATCATACAGCAAACAGTGAGGAGCGAGAAGATGGCCATACGCTGGCTGGATCGGTGAAAAGAGCCTAGAAGATTTACATTTCGCCACCGATGATGATTTATGTCTAATGTCGCACAAACTCGAAGATCTATAGGCGAAAACTAACAAGTTGACAGAAGAGGCAGCGAAAACAGGACTTCAAGTGAATATAGAGAAGACAGAGGTGATGAAGATACCCAACCAACAACAAGCACCAATCACCATCAACGGGAGAAACCTAAGGGAAGTAGTCTCTTTCACCTATCTAGGCAGCACTGTTTCAAATACAGGCGGCACAGATGAGGATGTCAAAGCAGCCAGGATCGGAAAAGAAAGACAGGCCCTCATTAATTTGAAATGAGTGTGGAGATCTACTGTATTCAGCACAAAGAACAAGATTCGGATTTTCAACACCATCGTCAAGTCAGTGCTGCTATATGGTTCGGAAACTTGGCGCGTCACGAAAAGCACTTCCAAGAAACTACAGACATTCATCAACAGCTGCCACCTACGCTCACTCGATACTGAATATGAGATGGATTGCCAGAAAGAATAAGCAGCAAGGAATTTTGGGGACGAATCAACCAAGAACCTATCACCCAACAAATATGCAGAAGAAAGTGGAGATGGACTGGATTGGGCATAAACTGAGAAGGCCGATTTAGGACATCATGTGTCAAAGCAGGCTCTCGAGTGGAATTCAAAGGAGAAACGAGGAATTGGGCGTCCGAGGCAAGGGTGACATGGAGATCATGTGAGGAAGAAATGAAAGTTTCTGGACAGTCGTGAAGCCAGGTCCAAAAGACTGCAGAGAACAAAGTGCAACGGAGGCGTGCTACTGAAGCTCTATGTTCCACTAGGAACCCAAGGGAAAAATAATAATAATGTAGTTACTTAGTTTTGTAGGACAAATAGTTCTGTATTATGAATGAGACTGAGACAGCCATGATTTGGTGCTGGTATTTACATAACAGTTAGCCAGTATTGATATGGGATGTGGCATTATTTTGTAACAACCCAAGTTACCACACCTCATTTAACAGAAAGATAAGTGAATGAGAAACGAAAATCTGGTTTGAGCCCTGTGTAATCCATACCTCAAATTAAATTTTGTACTCGTCAACATGCTGTGTAATAAGTACATGAATCACAAACTTAAACTTCTTAGCGTATAATTCACTATAATTTTCATCTCACGCACGATACGTCAGTTTACGGGGGTTCACTTAATTCGGCTTGTTTTTGTTACCTCCTTCATATTTAGACAATCCTGACTTTATTTCGTGCAGAATTTATACCCAGACAACTTTATCATTTTGCAGAATGAATGACTTGCATATACACGTGGACTGAAAATACTTGAACTGAGGTACAATTTAGTATACACAATGATCTGCAGAATAGTCTGGTAATGAATTTGCTCAGCATCCTCCTAACGTAATCTGAGGTAAGTAACCTATACGTGATGATTAATGTTGCACAGCTTGCGATGTCGCAGCATCTCTTGATTTCTCTCACTGTTGTTTTTAACTAGGCAAAGGATATTTTTACATCCAATTCTTCTCTTCTTCAATTCTCAGTTGACGAGAATTTGTTTCGTCCTTAAAAGGTTGAAAACAATCCAACTTCTGAACAGATGAAGTGTGATGACTCAAAATCTGAATATTTGTTCGGAAGGTCAATGAAAACTATCTTCGGTTCTTCATTGATTGGGAAATATAAACCGCAGAATAACAAATATCATCTACCAGATAACTGGGCACTTAGACGATCAATAATCAATTAATGAATGCAGATCTACCAGGTACACGTTCATTTGCTAAGCTATGAGCCACACTTGATGTGTAAAAGATTATGGTACCAACCACACCCAGGAAGTGAGGGCAGAAATCACCCAGGACTCACTGTTTGAAAGCCGATTCCCCAAGCCAATGGGCTATATCTTAGCTTGTTTTGTAAACCTATATCTCTAAAAATATCTACTAGCCAATGATATTCCACCCATAAAAGCACCTAGTTCTGGTAGTGATCACGCTGATAAAAATAAGTTCTCAAAAAGATCTTGAGACTTTATAAAAACACTGAGTACTCAAATGAAATCACATTGAATTTAACGAATAACTGGCACTCGTTTATATCCAAAACTCACAAAGCTAATGATCGTCTCCAATTTAAAAACTCTTCTCTTTCAAGGTTATCCAATGCATCAGCTGACATTTCTGTATTCCATTTGGGCCTGTAACCAACCAAAAGCAATAACTCTACACTGAAGCTCTTTGTTTGTTTGATTAAAATGGCAGATAAACCAGTACAAATTAAAAGGCTTGTAAATCAGAAAACGAAGATTCAATATAGCATTCTCAGCTTTGCCTAAGATTACATTTTGGAGTTAAATACGTGCATGCATTTGCCAACCCAATCAACTGCTTCACAAAAAGGCAAAAGTTACTTCGGAAAATAACTATGCATCTCCAGAGATACTACAACAAATAGTTAACTATGTGAGCACAATTTAGGAACTCCAGTGTGTATTCACAGGGCAGTAAACACAGAAAACTTCAAGATTCCGAACTACTGGATTTGCCAGGTGAAGACTGGTCATAAGCTCGGTGATAATGTCCAAATAATTCATCTCAGCAAAGTAGTAATACAAAATAAAAAGCGTTCTGATTCCACTGAAAAATGCTTTCCTTAGTTTTTATATCCGTGTTCCTATCACTTCTACTAGAAGGACTCCTCGGACTTGAAACCACGGAAAAAACTATTAATCGCACAAGTCCTTTCTTACTCATGTATAATTCCATTTGGTAGAACTTAGATTACTGCAAACCACTTGTGTGAATGTTACTTCCTTTAACTAGGTTTCTATACAACCAGTACATATATACTAAGTGGGCATCTCATCTACGGCTTATTTCTACTTGAATCGAACCTTACTAGTCAGCCTGAGAGTAATATTCGCTAGCTAATACATGATCTATACCTATCCGGATATCCGATGAAATGTACGCAACTGCGTAAAAATCATCAGCGCAGAACCTGACTAATTTTAGGAACGCTGGTGGTTATAACACGTTCCACCAGATAAACTCGCTTTTACCATCGAAAATATGGCGAGAAAAACAGTGAATCCCGTTCGATAGTAAAGATAAATATTCAGGAAAATGTTTTTATCCGTGATTCCTGACCAACATACAACGACATGAAGTTGCTTTGCATAACAAATGACCACAAACCTGAACGACACCACGGACTGAAGCTAGATCTTTCTATTTACTGTGTCCAGCTATACTATTTTATCACGAAGTACTTTAAGAACATCCACCAACTTTAAGAAGCTACGGTATATCAACCTCCAGATATCCCGTGGAATTTCTAGTGTGATAAAGTGATCCGAAATTTCCAAGCAAATGAAATTTTACTTAACTTCTGGGTATCTTGAGGCATCTTCTATAGAGATTCTGAACTTCAGAAATTTTCAGACGCTCGGAAGTAGTCTGGATACCAATTACTTCAGAGTCAGTGAGTAACCGGATATTCTTCTTCTCTGAAAGCAAAATATGGAATAAAATGAATCTTACGGGCTTTAAATTCCTGGTTGGCAAGCTTGGCAATACTGAAAAACTCATCCACACCCGTTTGTTCAGTAACTGAATATATAGGCAAACGAGACCAGTCAGCAGCATTGTTGGTTCCCACAGTGTGGCGTCCCTTACAGCATATGTTAATTACAAATTAAAAGACATACAGATCGTTCACAAGTTCCCGTGCCTATATTTTTTACGAGTGAACGTCCAAGCCCATGCTTTTTACCCATGTAGCGTTAAGCCCAAAATAACCGCAGCTTAACCAATATCCAACATCTTTTTCTGAGGTAGTATAAGTCACTTGATTTCTTTGTACTCACTTCTAGGTCTTTGCTGGGTTCCGATACAGTAGATTCACCCTCTTGCTTGCTGGTTAGCCTGATGGGCGGTTAAGTGAAGATGAAATTAGTAATGATTTTATGATTTGTTCAAGGGCTATCTCGCAGATGAGTTCCTCAAGAGTCTTGCCACCAGGCAGTTGTTCAGACTGGTTGTAAAAAGAGGATTAAAAGGGCATCCAGTGAACTCAAGGGAGAAGAAGCGCTCAGAAACAAAGTAAGGTGAAGAACGATAACTAAATCCATCACTTTAAATAGAGCCAAGACTTTATATCGTAAAGAGTGAATAACATATCACTTGGTGTTCCATTCATAGTTTCGTAATTTCAAATGATCATTCATCATCATAACTACAGATGCCTACGGTCTATAAGAGATAAAAAACTGTAACCTTTCACAACCCTGGAATGACTGTATTCAGTATACGTATTAGGGTTTCTCCTAAAAGTGTATGATAAAAGTATCATCCCGATCTTTGGAAGAACAGTAAGGAGCGAAACCAGCCTCTTACACGAGAACCTCATTCTTTCATAATCCTATCATGGACACAGAAGAGATCTAACCATGCTGTACAGGACTCCAAGAACCTACTTCGGGCCTGATCTACCTTCTCTTTTCCTTCCCATCAGGTCGGGACGTCCCAGAGGACACAGCAGGAGAATGCGAAAGCGAAGAACGAACGCAGTCTCCGTACAGCACCGGTTCTCGTATCGGGTAACCAACTCTTGGAACTGGCTCCCAGAAGAAGTGGTGTCCGTGCCATCAGCCTACTCGTTCAAAAGAGGACTGGGAAAACACGGAAATCTACTGGGAAAGGATTTATATAGGCTCACCCCCCTCTATCCTCAAATTATAAATCTGAAAATCTGAGATCTGGGTGAACTTAGTGAACCATCAGATACTGAGAATTTCATACTGTACCACAAGTTTTTTCTGGAATGAAGCTATTATGACTGTTACGACGATAAAATGAGGATTGCTCGGAACTCAAGGGAATAAATCACACTGCAGATGTGGGATACCATAGAAAGCGACCCCTTAAATGTAAGCCCAACATCACAGGAGAAAAGCGGAAAGTTGGTGGAAGCGAGAAGCAGAAACGACCCTGAGTGTGATTTCACATGTAGTGCACCATTCGTCAAGTTGTTCAGTTCCCTAGCATCCCACATTTTACCCACGTATTCTACTTGTATTCTGCGAACTGAGAAACCAAGTGGGCGATAAGTTGTGTCAACATTTGCAAACCAATAAATTCGCATGGTCAGTCGCGTCAACTTTCTGGCCTAGCGTTAACCGGACGTTTCATGGCAGTTTGCCGTTTGTGCCCCGTTGTAAAATAATTATTCTCAATTTTTGCCGTAACACTGCATCCTGAACAAACACTTCATCTCTATTCGTCTTTCGATATGACTCCAATTAAATCTTCTGCTAGTTACGATGCGACTAGCGGCGAAGGCCGGCCAGTTGAACCTTGTTTTCTGTGGCTTTAACCCTCAGTTAACATGCTGATTTGTTGGCGTTATTCTCCATAAATAGACTCAGTCAGTTTCCTTCTAAGGTGTGAAAGTGAAGCCAATATTTTTCATGTCAGTGCAGAGTATAAGACGCAATCCAATGACAGGATACGCTTAACAAGCGGTAGAAGTGGACAAATAATAATTCAGTGCACCTCTTCACACAAAAGCCGATGATGTATGACAGGCGCGGTGCCAACTATGGATGACATTTACCCTCCCTGGAATAATAGACGCATCTTCATTTGGAGAGATGACTATAGTACCGGTTCATGCACTGAATGATTGTGTGATGATCAGAAAACTTTATTCTGATTTTTTTAGAAAGGGGCATGGTTTGTGACCCATCCCTGCCCCGAATTGGCTGAAACTACTTCCGTAACAAACTTCATGTTGTGTGAAATATTCTCTCACCACAGCTCAATATTTTCCTTACTCTTCGAACCACTCTCTTTTGTTCGGATACTGGGCTAATTATTTTATGGAACCAATTTCTTAACGGCTCCCAAAATTTAAGTGGTATATGTATGTGGCCCTGCTCATGAACCGCCACGTGCTGGTATCCACTCGAATAAATTATCACTCGCACAAGTCAAGGGTTTGTGGAAAATTTTACATGAAAAACCCCTTCCTTCCACAGAATTACGATGGGATATACAGCAATCATCTCCTAACCGAGGGTTCCGCAGCGGACTTCTCATGGGGATGACTTCCAGAGGAAGGCGAGTGGAACCCAAGGTTAGTCCGAAAGCTCCTTCAAAGCAGTTTCAACAGCCGTGTTAGGGTAGTTCACAGCAACGCTAAGGGGAAGGTCCGCATCTTATTTAGGCAATATCGTGGCCTCTACTATGGCGTTTTCGGGTGAAATGCCTCCTTGGACTCGACGGTCACGTTTAGTTTTGCAGTGGTTCTTAAGTAATCCGCTTAATGCACTTAAGATGTGCGCCCGGTGAGGAATGAAGAATCAGCCATCATTTAACGTCATAATAAATGTATACAGCGCTATAACGGATGTTACTACTGGGAAACCATGAGGCACTTGTACCTTTTCGAGTGATTGGCGATTGATGTGCTCATCAATAACGTGACCGTGGAAAACGAATTAACTGAATAAAAGCTGCTGCCTAGCCAGGGTGTTAGTAACTAAACGTTCCTAATGCCTCGCAAACGCCTGCTGAAAGTGGACTGGATGAGCACCCCTGTCCGTATTCGTGATAAGTCGGTCATCTAGGTAGGTACAGGTGAAATCTCAACCACACACATCATCATGAATCAAGTACTGGGGCGTTTGTTCTAACTCTCATAAGTCGAAAGGCCTGTAGGGAAATCCAGTCGCGAAGAGCAGCTTGATGGCCGTTGTCTACAGAAAGTACCCCGAGTGGCTTGGCACTTAACAGTGAACACACTTCAGGTCCCCAGCCAAAAGGCGGTCAAATCAGGTAGGTGATGCACTGCGTGAATATCCAGAATCCTTCAACCATTGATTCGCAGATAGCCACTACAAGACCGTTAGTTTATAACGGTTTTCTTCACAGCTGCAAGCAAAGTGGAAAATCACTGGTAACTGGAACCTCCGATCATCCCTATTTTCAGCATATTTCATAACTCATCCTTGATAGGCTTTTATTTACCTAGAAATAAAAGCTACAGTTTCTTGAAAACCGGCGGCTGTTACCTCAATTCCGCAGGGTAGCAGGTGAAGCGTCACACAACTCCCCAAAATCAACAGCCTAGGGCTTGACGAGATTCAACATTGATGCTGACCTTCATAGTTTTATCAGAGTCGCTAAGCTGAAGGCACCCGGTCAAGCATCCTCGCCATTTGGCACTCTGTCGTGCTACTTTGCATTGCTCGTGATCGACTCTCTAACCAGTTGGTTGGAACTCATCGGTATTTTGGCAGAACGACTCAAATATACTATTCCATCCGACTACCTTATAGTATTCTTCCCTGCTCTCGTATTGGTGGGTATATAACAAGTTCCAATAGTTAGTGATTAGCCTCTGCATCTGTCAAGTTTGCACCAGGACAATTGCTGAACAGACAACGAAGATTGAAGTTTCTAAATTTCGCGAAACCCAAATGAAACCTACCAAGGAACGAATGCATTTTCAAGCGGTAAACTAACCCTGCTAAAGTGGTTCTTCACAACAAACTATAGGTGCAAAACTTAGTTATAAACCTTCAATTTTGGCAGCTACTGCAATTTCTATCCAAAAGAAATACAGTTGTAACACCAATCGAAATAAGAGGTTAAGTATCGTTGTACAAGCGAATTAACTGAAGTCAAACAAAAAGAGTGGTCAGTGTTTTTGAATACTCTAGAAGAACAAAACTAAAAAACACGCAATAGCGGTCGAGTTGTTGTCATGGGATTAGATACATTAGAAGTCATTCAAGGCACACCAGATGCCAGTTTGAAAATGTCACGGAATGACTTCATGGTGGGAGCAAATGAGCAAAGAATGTAAGAGCCAAAATTAACTGGACTGGAGGAAAAGTTAGTGGTACTAACACAGGCAACAGAAGGTGTGGTAATACTGATGAACCTGCTCTTATCTGCACCCACCAGTATATGATTGTGTTATGGGTCATTCATACCAGTTATGCAGGTGTTCGCGACAGCCATAATTAATACCCCACAGTAATAATAATAATAATGTGTATATTTCATACAACATAGGTTACATGAATACGAACCAGTTTACAAGGTTGATCATTTTGGTAATGAGAAATGGCTATTATCTAGTGTTAAGCTATACATTAGATACCGTTATTCATGGCATGTAAAAGGTGTGTTAAAGCAGGCTAAGTTCGAAATTAGCAGTTATTCGGTCATCGTTTGCACCTTCCAACATTCCTGAAGGTGGGGCCGCGTCACAGTCATGACCTTGGGGTGTGTGCGTTCGTCACAGGGTTTTGGTGGCAAGGTGCACACTGATAAATGCAATCTCTAGGATTCCATTTGAATGCGGGACTGGTTAGGTAAACTTGAAAAGTGAATAAC